GGGAAACCTGGATGACCTGATTAACTCTTAAGCTTCAGCTTCTTTGTCTATCCAAGGTGATAAACTTACGGAGCTATTATGAGGAATGAAAGAAAGAAAAAAGTAAGTAGTAAAGCTCTGAGGGCCTAGCAAGCATCTACGAGAAGTTGGTTTTTTCTGCCCAGGCTTGAGCATGCCTAATGCTCCACCATGACCCTGGGCTCTGGGATGTGGCACATAGGAAGCCTGCAGGTTGTGTGTGTCTGCGCTCCCCACCTTCCCAGAGGGGAACCGCTAAGCCTTCGTGCTGTTACAGTTCAGCCAAGGGCGGATGCTGACTGCAGTAGATTCCGAAATTTCATTTGGCTGTCATGCCGGGAAGAATCTAGAATCCCTTAAATGATCCACAGGAATCTAATTCATTAGGAGACTTGAATGCTAATTTATTAGTTTATGCTGAAAAATAGAATTGCTGAGTGGTCTAAAAGGCTTAGAGGCTGGCCAGAGCAGTGTCTTTCTGGAAGGAAAAACAGCTTGGGAAAACACAGTATCTGGTTTCACAGGCAGCACAGAGTCAAGCAAAGAGGATTGAACTGGTCCAGCATAACTTCTCCCACCACAGTAGCCTCCGATTCACATGAGCTCTTCGTGAATCTTCTACTAGTGGGCAATGTCCCCAGCCAGGGCCATTTTTCTGCACCAGACTTAGTATTTTCCCCCTCTTCAACATAGTCCATGTAAAATCCCTCAGGGTTGTGTCCCAAGAGTGGGCTGGCTCCTAGGTCCTCAGCGCTGCCACAGTCTACCATTTCACTATTAGAGGGTACGGAGGGAGAATGGGCAACTGGGGAGGCCCACAGGGAGTAGGGGCCCTGGCAGCTGGCTAGGCTCCTCTCTCCCTTTGCACTGGAGACAGACTTGTTCCCACACGGGAAGGGAGATCTGGGGATGTCAGTGCTGCCGAGGCTCTTGGTGCACCCTGCCTGCTCTGCACATTGACCCTAGTGTCATCACCCTTCTTGTAGCTTTTAGAACACGGCAGCTCTGAAATGGGCAATTGTGAATTGGGTTTTAGGATGACTGTTGCTTTGTTGTAGCTAGGCTGTGTTCTCTGCCAACAGCATGATGACATGGGCTCCCTCTGGGCCACTCTCCAGCAGACCCCTGAGGCCAGCAGGAGTGGGCAGCTCAAATCTTTTTGCTTAATCTTTTGAACAAGTCTCTTTCTGACCATGTCCTGAGAAGCAGCTTTCACCTTCATGGGATTCTCTACCAAGTATTGTCTACCAGACTTAGCTCCTTCGTTCCCTCCTTGCTTCCTTCCTGTCAAGATATATTTTTACTTTAAAGACAAAGTTAGAGAGGTCTTTTATTTGTTGGTTCATTCTGCAAGTGGACATAACGGCTGGAATTAGACTAGTCTGAGCCAGGAGCCAGAAGCTTCCTCTGAGTCTCCCATATGGATGCAGGGGCCCAAGTGCTTTGGCCATCCTCCACTGCTTTCCCAGGCACCACAAGCAGCAACTTTACCCATTATTTCACAGTACTGGCCCTCAGGCTGAGTTTCTTAGCCAATTCCATGTCTATAACTCTGATCCCCACCCCCATCCTGTGCCTGCAGAATTTGGGTGTGGAGTTTCTCTGGGCATCTGTTCCACCATCTTTTGCAGACAGAGTTGGTGCCCAACTGCATTCCCTTGTTAACTGGAGTCACACCCTCTGTAAGCACCCTTTCCAAGCCTGGTGAGAATGACTTCAACCTGAACCCTCCTGGGCACTCTCACAGGAAGTAGGAATGTCGAAAATGTCAGAGATGTAGGGGCCATGAAGGGGTTGATTAGTGGGTGGGGAGACCATCTGAAGACTCAGAAATTTAGCCCGACCCCCTGCTTTACTTGTTGGCTTCTTTTTCTATACTTGGAAATTAATCTTGGAGCCTGTGTTCTTTTGGGTATGCTCATGGCTTCTTGAGAAAAGTTGTGGTGTCTTGTGCATCACTGCTCCCAAATTGAAGGGTTGCCCTGGCAGATGGAATGCTGCCTGTCGGGGGAAGTGTATGCTACAGGACTGTGGGTGTCCTAGCAGACTGGTATAGAGAGTGCTAGAGTTAGTGATTCCAGTCCGGGCTTTGGTTCTCAGATCCCAGAACAAGTCACTTTTATCTCAGATATGACAATCTTATCTACTGAATGTTGAGGTTGAGCAAAGTGACTTCAAGGGCCTTATGCGTCAGACATTTCATGGAGTGGGCTGATGGAGGAGGACAGGGGAGGCAGGCATGAACAAGCAAAGGGTCTTGTTCTTCATTACACCCTCATCCTTGAGACCCAGGAGAGCTGGAGTGGTGTGCCCTGACCTGAGGAGTTTGGTTTGCTGGACTTGATTTCTCTATTGGGACAAAATATAGGACACGCTGGCTTTCTCAGAGGAGGCCCTGCTGATCAGGGCCTGGCATAGGAGCTGCACAGAGCTATGCAAACTCATCAGATTTCCCAGTCTCCATGCCAGCCCTGGATTCTGCTCCAACTCTACCATCAGTCTTGCTCATATGTATGTCCTAGCCACTGGACTGTGAGCCCCCTGGGATCAGGCACCTGCATGCAGGCCTACCCTTAACTTCTCCAAGTGCCAGGCAAAGGTCTGCTCAGTGGCATTGCTGGCATTTGTGTTTGGAGAGTTCTAATTCTTGGTTTCTGGGAGTCTTCGTCAGATGATAGATGTTATACAACACATTGGTTCCCATGGCTTTGGAAATCCAAACGTGCTTGGGCCAGAGCGACCTGTGCACCGCTGTGAGTTTCTGAACAAAATGTTTTGTGTTAAACATAGATGCCTTTGTGTTGGTGAGATTCCGTCAGAGTCTGCTGACCTTGTCTGTTTCCAAATCTTCCTCTCCCACCCTACAGTGAATCGGAGACAGTTCTTGCAGGAGATTGCTCAGCTTTAGGGAGCCCCTAAGTGGTAATTTCTCAGCTCTTGGCATCATAATTCTGTGGATCCCTGTGATGCCTTTCATCCAAAGACCTTTTCACCTTACGATGTTATCTGATCCCAGCCTGGACAGTGCAGTGACCCCTGTTATTACATCTACCTCATAGTGCCATGAACATTGAGGTCTGGATAGAGAGGAGGGCAGTGGGATCTGGAACGGCTTCAGGGCTTTGCAGACCTGTCTCCTGGGTGGGAGATCAACAGACTTTTCTGGTGCGTGAAGGGCTGAGCCTGGGTTTGCTGGAGTCTGAACTGTTTTGGACTGTAACTTGAGTGCCTGAGTGTGAGGATGGATAGTTGCTGGGCCACAGTGGTTAGTGGGGTCAGGCCCAGTGCTGAAATTATGCACTCGTCCACCCTCCCACTCCCCGCAACTTGTTCTCCAAGCTCTAGCTGCCATTCCTCCAATCAGTCACCAAGTACAGGCCCAAGTCACCATTTGTCTCCTGGAGTGGGTTTAGAGATGAGCATTTGAGTTGAGGAAGGGATGTCTCTTTGTGCCATGATCGATGGTGGCAGGACTTTTCACATCAGGTCTAGAGGAGAGAGCCCAGAGTTGGCAGGACCAGATCTGGCCAAGGAAAATCCCTGAGAGGCCATTTTTAATTTCAATATAACCTGGAACATTGAGATATCAGAGACTGTTAAAAATGAGAAAGGGAAGCAAGTTCCCCTCCCTGGAGGGAAGTGAGCAGAGGAGGGTGACTGCTGGATGAAGTGTCATGGATGAAGCAGGTGTTAGGGCTTTCTGGCTGATGTGCCTGGCCCGACGTATGGTCTTCCCAGCCTTTGTGCCCTAGGTGGATGGAGTCCAGTGGCTTCCTGAGGTTTCAGAGTCTTCCAGCTTGAGAGAAAGTTTTCTAAGTGTCTGTAAGGAAGACCAGCCCGACCCTGTCTCTCTTCCTTGGCCCAAGTAGAGGTCATAAGGTGGCTGTGAGACTGATTGGAAGTTTTTTTTTTAGTCTTCATTTAATTTTATTTAAACAAAAACAGGAAAAGCCAGTGATGGAGGAACCTCAGCCAGTTACTTGTCACCTATTTTTCTGTCCTGGTCCTACTTTTATCTCACATTCCCTTTTGTCTTTTCTCCCTTCCTTCCTCCCTTCCTTCCTGGCGTCTCTCTATCCTCCTCTCTCTCCTTCTTCTTTCCCTCTTTCTTATTCCTTTTATCTGCAGTTGTACAAGTACTATCACCTGTGGATGGATTCATATTGTTAAGACAAAAGTAATAGCAGTATATTGAAATCCCTCTTGATCACCTTCCCTTTTAACTTCCAGTCTCCTCCCTAGATGTGATAACTGTTTTTACCTTGGCATCCATTCAGAATACACACACACACACACACACACACACACACACACACACACACACACACATTTCTATTTGTTCTGCAATTTGCTTATTCATTTTAAAAACTTGTGTCAACAATATTTTCTTGCCAAGTCATATAGCGCCTCTCCAGTCTTACTGACAGCCCATGCTATTCCACAATGTAGCTAGCAATAGAAGATTTGCTTAACCCATTTTGTATTCATGGATATTTCCATTGTTTCCAATATTTCCTTGTTTTAAATAATGCTGTGGTATCAGCAGGCATGTGAATTTTTGTTTATGATAGTTGTCTGGAATGAAAGTTGCTAGGTTGAAGGACATGCACATTGAAATCCAATAGATGTTGCCAAAAACTACCCTCCAGCCGTCCTCCCTCCAACATGGTGTGTACAACAGCATCCTTTTCCCACACGTTTACTGACATCTGACTCCTTCCTGTGGTGAGTGCTCGCCAAGACCCACCTGGGCTGCCTGGTGCAGCAGTGAGCTCCCCAGCACCAGAAGGACTGCAGCTGGGGGCACTGCAGCAGGGGCCCTTGGTGGGGGTACAGTGGCTGTACTGGCTGAGATCCCTTCCAGCCAGAGACTGTGGGAGTCTGAGTGGCTGAAATGATCAAAGGAGCATCTTGGCACCTCTGCTCCCATTTTTGCCCAACAAGGAGCAGAGGTGAGATTGTTCCTACCATTATTTCCTTAGGTCAGCTGAAGCTGTCGATTGATGCGCAGGATGGGATTCTGCTGCTCCATGGTGAGTATGGCTGTGTGTAGGTTCTAAGGATGGGTGGCCATTCCCTTCCATCTTGGAATCAGGGGTGGGGTGTGATACTTCTGTGGGCCAAGGCTTCTGTTGTCTTCCTGTAATAGCCTGCAAGCAGTGGGTATTCACTTGGGCTGTTTCTACTGCCCCAGGCCTGCTTCTGCCTCTGATGTGTCCTCCACTGGCTGGGTTTGTCTTTGGCCACCTCCACACCATCTTTGGCCTCAGTGGGGCAGACCATTACAGTTTAAGACCACAGTCAGGATCAAGTTTTGAGAAAAAGACCCTTTGAATCTGAGCCCTGGCTCTGATGCTTTCTTATGGAGTGGCCTTGAGCAAGTTCAAGTTTTTCTTGTGTCCAAAAGCAGTGATCATAGTATTTGTTTTATGGGTTATTAGAATTAAATGAGTAAATATTATAGTAAATTGCTTACAGTGCCCACCATGTAGGAAACCTTGAATGACTGTTAAAGATAGAAAACTCTCATTCCAAAATAATGAGTAAACATTGACTCTTTGTTAGGGGCTGGGGACACAGAAGTACCTGTCCCTGTCTGGATGGTGTTTATGGGATACCAGGGAAGACATGACAAAGGGAGTGATTTTCACATTCCATCCTGAAGGAGGAGAACAGGTTGAGCCAGGAAGAAGTGAACTGGGTAGCTGGGTGTTTCACACACACAGAGCAGCAGGTCCTAGGGCCTGGGGGTTGGAGAGGGCAGGATACATCTGAAGAGCTGTCCAGTGTGACTGGGACATAGCCCAGGAGAAGATTTCGATCTTTTATCAGTCAACCTACCTGCCTATTTATCCCTCCACCGAGCACATAGTTACCAAGCTTCAGTCGTAGTCCCTAGCACCTAGACAATCCTGTTCAACCTGGGAGGCTCTGCCCTTCTCTCCAGCCTCCTAGTTCTTGTCGCCAAAAAGACATCCACATCCCTTGTTATTGTACCCCCTTTCATAGGTCCTACTTGGCTAGCCCCTATGCCTTTGTACACATTATTCCCTATGTTGGGGATTATTATGCTTTGAACTCCTTTTGAAAAATACATCTTTCTTTCTCCTTTTCTCTGAATTGACAAGAAATCTTCCCATCTTAATCATCATTAAGATTAGGAAGGAAGGTTCATTTTGCCTTGCCATCTCCTCCAGGGATCAAGTCCCCACCCTCTTCCCACCTGCCTGGGCTTTTATGTATCCTCATCACAGCCTGATTCTGATGTACCGCCCTGTGTCTGGTCCCTCCACCAAACTGGGAGACACAAACAGTGCCTGCCTCACTGTCAATAGTGCCTGGATCCTGCCTTCAGCAGCTATGTCCTGAAGGGCAGGATGCATGCAGGAACAGTAGCTAGGATACCAGGGTGAACAGACCAGCAGGCGCCGGGGATCCTGCTGTCCTGGGCCTGGGGGGGCCAGGGGGAAGTTCCCAAGGATCAGCAGAGGGATGTTCTTTGCCTGTCAGGCCTGACTCCAGCTGTGCAAACAGTTTTTGCAGAATACATCTTGGCATCCACCACTTCATTTGTCCTGCACAGTTTGCTTTGGCTCCACCCCAGTTGCAGGCCCTTCAGCCCTTGCAGCCCATGCCTTCTTCCTTTGGCTTCCCAGGCCTCCTGCCTCAGACCAGGAGCTCTGTCCATTTCAGCCCCGGAGGCCCAGTCATAATCCAACACAAAAGAAGATGGAGAAGAGGCTTTAGGTCTGCAAGATCTGTGGTTGATTTCTACAGACCTTGGGCAAATGGACTATGGTTTCTTTCATCGTTTAAATTTTATTTTTTAAGGATTAATTTGGTTTATTTGAAAGGCAGAATGATAAAGAGAGAGAGACGGGGAGAAAAAAATCTTCTATCTGCTTGTTAACTGCTCCACAGATGGTCTTAGCAGCCCAGAACGCCATCCATGTCTCTCACAGGGATCCAAGTACTCAGGCCATCCTCCACTGCCCTTTCAGGCACATTAACAGGGAGCCAGAGTGGAAGCGGAGCTGCTGGGACACAAACCAGTGCTCTGATATGGGACAATGGCATCTCAGGTGCCCCAGAGCGCCAGCTGTGGCACACTTGCCCTCAGGGCTAGACCTGCACCTAACTTACATCTACTATTTACCCTTATTCTTCACTTTTTTAGATAACCATTTGTCTGGCACTCTTAAACACTGTCAAACACCACCTAATGTACGTAGCACAATTACTGTGCATACACATTATTATTATTATTATTATTATTATTTAGTGTCCATCAGCCACAGCTAGTCTGCTAGTTTACAGGAATCCTCTAGCTTCACTCTTCATTCCCAGGAGGCAGGCTTGTGTGATGTAAGGAGCACTGGACTGGGAGTCCAGAGACATGAATCCCAATTCTACTCTCATTACCATTGCATGGTATTTATGGGCTTCGGCTTGGAGCTGCATTTTCCCTATTTAGTGAGGGGTTGGACTTGATACATTTTAAGTTTCTTTTTGGCTGAAAGAGTCTTAAGAATTGAATACCCTCTATAAGGCCTTTGGGAGGCTGCTACCAGGGTGTAGGAGGAATGTATAAAGGGGTTAAGCAGTGACCAGTAGTGGTTATGCACATCAAGCAAGGGCTCTACTGCTCACAGGCATGCCTTGTCTTTCTTTCCAGATCTGTTAATTAGTGTGAGTGTGTGTTTCCCCCTTACCTACCCTAATATTCCAATTCTCTTTTTAGTCATGGAAGCCAAAGGCCTGATGAGCAAAGAGCCTGGTGTCTGCGATCCCTATGTGAAGGTATCCGTCGGGGATGGAGGTGTGGTGAGGGCTATCGAGGCATCACCTTGCTGGGTTGAGTTCCAAGGTTTCCCCAGCATACTTGTGGGCCTAGGCATGCCCAAGCTGGTGGCTGACATCCCATTCATTTAGCTTGTAGGCATTTATTAAGCAAAGTGATGAGATCCTAGGCTGGGCAAAACTCTGTGCCAAATCTCAGTGTGGTCCTTAGGACTTCCTGCAAGAGCTAGAATCCTAAGAGTGAGCTTGGTTACACATGTCGGTGGGCACAGTGTATATGTGGGTGACTCGACCACAGGGAATCCCAAGGCCTCTTGTGACAAGCAACATTTTTCTTATTCCCATCAACAGCAGAGATGGGATGGCCAGGCAGGGCAATCGTTGCTAAGGGATGGAAGAACCCTCTGCTTAGGGCCCAGGCCCTGAAGCCAGGGACCCTGCAGTGGCAAGCATTTATTCCAGTGCCAGGCTCCACAGGCCAGGAGCCTGGCAGCTGGTGTGCCAGCGACAGGCCCTATGCCCACCTCTGCATCATTCCTGAGGCCTGCAGTCTGCTCAGAGGCCCCTGGGTACAGGACTGGGGCTGGAGGCCGGGGAAGAGCAGCATGGGTAAGAGTGTGGGCTTGTAGCCTCAGCAGGTGGCTGACCTGGTTCTTCATGGGAAGGGATCCCTCAGCAGCTGTTGGGAACTTAGACGAGAGAAGGCTTTGGTTTTGAGGGAAACCTCTGTGTTGAGGGGAAGAGTTGTACCCATCCCTGGCTGGGCCCAGGCTACCTTTCTGGTGTCAACCCCCGAGAGGCCGTGTGCTGGCATTTTGACCCTACTTCCTCTGGTCTTAGGCTCCTTATTCCTTCCCAGTGTGTGACCAGGGCCTCCACACCATCCTCTGAAGAGGCTGGTTTGCAGGACGCTGAGGAGTTGTGCGGTCAGCAGCTGGGCTTGGGTGATCTCATGGTTGTGAGATCAGCTAACACTTACTTTTCCCAATTCAAGATTTCTTTGATCCCTGAAGACAACCGAAGGCGCCGTCAAAAGACACAGACCATTCCTGACTGCAGGGACCCGGCTTTCCATGAGCACTTTTTCTTGTAAGAGTCTGGTGCAGCTGGGTCCTAGAGGAGCGAGGAGTGAGGAGGATGTAGGGAACATGGTGGAGGAGAAGGGAGAAAGGGAGAGAGAAGGGAGGAGAATGGAGAAGGGAGAGGGAGGAGGGAGAAGGGAGACGGGAGAGGGAGAATGGAGGAGGAAGGAAAGGGGAGGGAGAGGGGAGAGGAAGAAGGGGAGAAGGCAGAGGAAGGTGAGAGAAAGAAGGGAGGAGAATGGAGGAAGAAGAAGGGAGAGGGAGGAGAGAAGGGAGGATGAGGAAGGAGGAGGGAGAAGGAGGAAGGGAGGAGAGGGAAAGGGGGGGACAGAAAGCGGGGCAGGGGGGAGGGAGGAGGAAGAGCCTCTTCAGAAACAGTTCTGATGGCCAATCCTACAATTGCATCTAGGCAGTGCAACAGCCCCTTCTAAAGGCCATCTTTGTCTTATGCCCTGTGCCCTTGCATCCCTGGCACAGGCTTGCTGTGATAAAGTCTCATTTGGCTGCTTCTCCTTACTAGGGAAAGCCCCAGGAAAGAGTGGGGAGTGTCCCACCATGCTCCAGGGCCTAGTTCTTTACTTCAGAGATAGGAATTTTCCAAGCGCAAGGAAGTTTGGCCTCCCTGTCCCCCTTTTTATTTCAACTTGCTAACCTCCCTGAGCCTTGGCTTCCTTATTTGTCAAACGGGGCTAATAATAGTACTAGCCTGAGACAGTGATGAGGTGTGACCAGGACTTGGTAGCACAGAGCCTGGCAGGCCGCTCGTTATTGTTGCTGTTAGGATTATTTCTCACATCTCTGAACTCTGGGGCCAGCAGGAAGGTGGTGAACATTTTGTCTTTCCTCGTGAGTGAGAAGCCATCACAATATCTTGGTGTTGGTTGTTTTTGCTTATTGTGGAAAATAGACGAGCAAGAAAGAATATAGAAAGCACTCAGTTGTGTTAGTTGGGCAGAAATGTCCCACTGGGTGTCTTTTCCGACCATTAGCTGATGTGACAATGGAGGTTTTTCTGTGAGTGGGAGGTGCATTTATAAGGGCCAGGTGTTTTAAAGAAGTGTGGGGAAACTTCTCCTAGTCCCTGATCAGGCAGCCTTGCCTCTGTTGCATGCCTGTGGTCATCTCCCTTGCTGTTTGCACTGTAACTTATTTGCCCAGCTGTTTAGGTGCCTTCCAGATGTTTGCAAGTGTGACTGACTCCCTGGGCCTGGCCTGGAGCTGGGTCCTCCTGACATTCTTCTTCACTTCACACAGCCCTGTCCATGAGGAGGATGAACAGAAGCGGCTGCTGGTCACTGTGTGGAACAGGGCTGGGAGCTCCAGGTAAGGGGCACTGCTGAGCAGACGGGGCAGTGGGTGGCAGGCAGGGAGCCAGTAGGCAGCCAGGGCTCCATTAATGCCCGCTGGATAGATGAACTGTACTGGCTACAGCCAGTTACAGAGGCTGCCACTCCCAAGTCCCTCGTCACCTTAGGTGATGCCAAAGACAGCGGTACCGACGAGTGGTTGTTGAGTATTCCATGTCAGCCGATTCGACTGACACATGTATCTGCTCTCACGATGTTCGCCAGTCAGGTGGGGATGCCAGGCGCTGCATGGAGATAAATGAAGTTATAATACGCACATACCCAGTGCCACAAGACTCTGAGCATGGTGGAAAATTGGTCTGTTTCTCTTCTTCTCTGCTGTACCTGGCACCTCACACGCAGCTGCGTGAAGAAAGGACTGACATGAGTAACAAGGACCGTGTGGGAGGAGGGAGTGCTTGGTGCGGGTTGGGCTTGCCAAGGAGGGCTTCATGGAGAAAGCCCAATTTGTGCCTTGGAAAGAGAGTACAAATAAAGAGAGGAGGTTGGAAAGGATAGTGTAGCAGGGCACAGCAGGAGCAAAGCAAGGAGGCAGGGTTGTGTATGGCAGACCCAAGCTGCCCTAAGGAGGTAGAGAAATCTTCTATGGGGGAGTTCACGTAGGCTGATCTTGTGGACAGCCCAGAGCCCAGGAGGCCTAGGAAGGCAGGCATGATCGTTAGCCATGACACTAAACATGGAGTAGGGGGAGCGGGGTTGAGGAGGATAGCGTGAGGATGGGCTGCAAAGCAAAGTGGCTGGATGTTAAGTGGTTGCTGTGGCCCACCGAACACCAGCAGAGACCCCATGGCCAGTGATATTGATCCAGCCGTCGCAGAACCAAGCGTGGTTGATGGTGGTCAGCTCACCACCTGGAAAACGTTTTTTTGAATGAATGCTTTTGAGCAGGCTAAATTTTATGGTTTGGTGCGCTTTTCAAACTTGAATCCCACTCACCTTTCCAAATGAAGGGCTTTTCCTTTAATAGAGTAGCCTCATCACAGAGTTGGTACTCACAGTGTACCCAAGCATTCACCCGCTATTTCCGGGGTGCTGATGTAGAAACAACTTTTTGGGGCCTGGGAACACGTGGGGCCCATCAAAGATTGTCCTGTTCCCTAGCAGATCAGATAGAGAGAGACTTGAGAGTGAGGTAGAAGAAGAGGGGGCTATCATGTTAATAAACCCACCATTTGCTGGATGCTGGTTTTGAGCCAGGGATTCATCAATTCATTCATCATCTCATTCAATACTTAAAATTAAGAGTGTGGTTTTTGTCCTAAGTTTTCAGAAGTGGTAGCTGAAGAATGGTAAATGTCACCCAGGCTGTTTCCAGCAGAGCCAGGTTGGGGGTCAAGGCAGTTGGACTCCAGAGGGTGCTGTCTTATGGGTGCACAAGCTAAAACATAGAAGAAAAAAACAGCAGGGTAGTAAGGGCAGCAGCAGGAAGAGAGTGAAGTGTCTGCAAGGTCAATACTGTGCTAGAGGGCCAAGGGCAAGGTCGGTAAGGGCAGAGCAGGGCAGGAGGAGATTGAAGTGTCTGCAAGGTCAATACTGTGCTAGAGGGCCAAGGGCAAGGTCGGAGCTGGCCAGAGATGAGATGGAAGGGTTGGGGAACCAAATCAGATGATTCTGTATATTCTCTCTGGGATATGGGTTTTCTCCTTGTGAGAAACACAGGTTCCTGGGTGCTGAGTTACACTGACTGAGTTTGCATAGTCAGAGCCTAGGGATCTATGCTGTGGGGCTGCCCCTCTTGCAGCTGGGTTGGGGTTGGAGGAGCTATTAGCTGTTGGAAGATACCAAGGGTATTGAGTATGTCATTGGCAAGTACACAGTTCAGACTGATGAGTTTGGGAGGTCTTTGGGGTGTGTGTGTCTGGGGAGGGTGGGCAAGCATGAGAGATGGCTTGGGGATAGCAAGGAGAGAAACAGATTCAGGACAGACTTGGGAGATTAATTTAGCAGTACTGAGTGGTGATTTGGCTGTGGGAGCAGTAGGAAAAATCAAGGCTTACTCCTACGTGGCTGGTGATGGTCCTCTGTGAGATGGCATGTGTTGGAGGGGGAATCAGTGTGGGCTCAGCTATGGAGCAGGTGTCTGCAGAGCAGCCCCATTGCAGCTGAGCAGGAGGGCTTCCCTTCCTGGGGCCATGGGAGACATGCCCACAACAGCAGAGGGCGAGAATGCAAGCAGGCAGGACTGCCCAGGAAAAGCACTGATTGTCAAGGGCCAACGTCACAGAGCCTGTCACTGAAGGGTCAGGTGACAGCAGGTGTGTCCCTGGCAGACACAGCCACAGGCCCACTGGGTGGAAGCATGGCCTGTGGCAGATGCCGGAGGCAGACCCCAACCTGAGGGAGGAGTCAGCCTCATGGCGTGGGTGACCATCCCCTCTGCCAGAGCAGAGCAAGGGGGCAGAGCTACTGCCTGCCAGAGAAAGAGCCAGGAATGTGGGTCACGTTTTTGGAAAAGAAAGTGAAGCTGGGGAAAGTGAGTCAGCCCCCTGTGAGGTGGCATGACTGGGGCAGTGTCTCTACTTGTTGCCTATTTTGGGAAAGTGAGGTTCTTTATTAAACAAAACAGTCAAGTCCGTGGTCACAGTCCCAGCCCCAAGGCTCAGGAGGGACAGACCAGGCCCAAACTGGCCCGCCTTTGGAACAGATGGCCCTGCCTGGGGCTGTCAGCACTCAGGAGGCCGGCTCAGCCTCCAGTACTTTCTGCACACTTTCTCCTTCATCGACCCTTGTCTGAGCAAGTGGGTCTCTTTAGCTTGAGGGGGCAGACCTAGTGCCGGCAGGAAACCTGAGCTCTGCCAGATGTCAAATCAAGCTGTTCTCTGAAGGATGGACGTGAAGGATGGTTCTGGAAGGAAGGAAGAAAGAGCAGTTACTGAGCTATTATGTGTGCCAAATACTTTGCATGCATGATCTCATTTAATTTTCCTATCAGTGCTAGGGGGTGGGCATCAGTGTTGGCCTTCTCATCAGGGAAAAGAAATGGAGGCTTACGGAGGCTGCAGAACTTGCTTGAGGTTTCACACTAGCTTGTATTTGACAAGCACGCAGTGTGTGGTCATTCATCTCAGCTTGTGCTATGTGTCATTTGATTTCATCCTTGCAATGTGAAGTGAGTTTTACCACCGTTGCTCATTAACAGGTGGGGAAGCAGAGACAGAGAAGGTATGTTGACTTGCCAGAGTAACACAGCAAAAGGTTCAGTATGGCAAGATGTGGATCCAAGCTGCCTGGTGCCGAGTGTGTGCCCTCATTGCCTGTGACACTGGACTGTCTTGTGATTAGGGACTGTAAAGCCAACCCTTTCTGTGTCATGGCACTTGCCCTTCTGGCCTCAGGATACATCCAGCAGCATGTACAGCGCAGTTTTGAAGAAGTCCCCAGCCACCCACTCAGGTGGCGGTTGCTCCCTGCAAGTAGTAGAGACAGTCCTTGTGATGCCTCCAGTAACAGCGTGAGCTTGCACTAGGTAGATGAGTTGTTCCACAAGGGCATCCCCATGAGGGCTGGAAGGTTTCTGCCTAGCCTGGGGATCCCAGCAGGAGCTGAGGAGAACTGGGCCTCGGAGCAGGAGGGTCTGGCTTTGTGCTGAATTGGGTGCTTTCCCCACTCTGTGCTTCAGTTTCCTCAACTGCAAAGCATGGTGATCTTCAAAGTTTGTTTCAGCCTCAAGGCCCCAGGAGTTCAAAGCACTTTCACACTAAAGTAGACTTAGTTTTTACTTCCATTTACTTTGAGCTTTTTTGTTTTTAAAAGGCAGATTTACAGAGAGAAGCAAGACCAAGAGATGAAAAGGTTCATTTCCCAAATGGCCACAGTGGCCGGAGCTGGATTGACATGAAACCGGGAGCCTGGAGCCAGCAGCTATGAGCTTCTTCCATGCCTCCTATGTGGGGACAGGGCCCCAAGGCCTTGAACCATCCACCAGTGCTTCCCTAGTCCTTAGGCAGGGAGCTCAATTGGAAGTAGGGCACCCAGGATAGGAGCTCATATGGAGTGTCATCACTCACAGGCAGAGGATTAGCTTGTTGAGCCACTATGCTGTCCCCAGAGCTTTTTTGTATTTTATTTTGTTTTAAAAATAGTTATGTATTTGAGGGAGAGAGAGCGAGAGACTTCTGTTCACTGACTCACTCTGCAAATGGCTGTAGTAAATGGGGCAGGGCCAGACTGAATCCAGAACCTGGGACTCAATCCAGGTATCCCATGTGGGTAGCTGGGGTCTAGGTACTTAAGCCAGCACTTGCTACTTCCTAGGGTGTGCTTAGCAGGGAGCCGAGGTCAGCTGTAGCCAGGAATTGAACCCTCATGCTCCAATTTGGACATAGATGTTTTAAATATCAGGTCAGATACCCATTCTAGGAGCATAAAATTGTATGTTAATAGAAGTTACACTTACAGATGGTCATATAATTATGTGCCTTGTACTGTTGGGGCACTACGAGTATATTATCTCCTTTAATCTGCCTTAGAAGCAAGATCTCATGCCAAGAATAGTGGTCTAGTGTCAGAAAGCTTGTGACCAGTGCTGAGTACTGAGCCTAAGGCAAGAGGTGCAAGGGAAAACATATTCAATTTAATCCATAAAAGCAAAAATAAATTATGGGGTGGGTGTTGTGATGGGGTGTGTGAAGCTACCACCTGTGACGCTGGCATTCCATATGGGTGCTGGTTCATGTCCTTACTGCTCCATTTCCAATCCAGCTTCCTGCTCATGATCTGGGAAAAGCAACCAAAATTGGCCCCTGTGCTTTGGGCCCTTACCGTCTGTGTGGGAGACCCAATGAAGCGCCTGTCTCCTTTTGGGCCTGGCCCTGCTGGCAGCCATCTGGAAGTGAGCGAGCCGGTGGAAGATATCTCTGTGTCTCCTTCCGTTCTTTCTAGAATTCTGACTTTCACCACAAAGAAGTGATTTTTTTAAAAAGTGAAAAATAGAAATTGAATAGTGTTATCCTGTAGCAGAAGTCGTTTGAGCTCCTCAGAAAAGGAAAGCTCACTCCTTCAGAAGTTAAGCGTTTTCATCTTACAGAGGGTCTCCCACTCTGCTGCCATGCAAACTGAATCCTGCATCCTGTGTGTACTCCATGAATTAGCTCTGACCCTTCCCACCTGGCATGACCCCTGCGTGAGATGCTCTTCCTCTCCTCTGCTCTGGCTGAGTCCTGATAGGTCTTCTTGAAGCATCTCAGCCTTGCATCTCACCTCCCAAGCCTTCAGAACGCGTTGCTGGCACTGTTCATCTGTCAATCTCACCCTGTCCTGTGACATCCGCTGTGTTGCTGTCTGGAGATGCTATTTAAATCCTTGCATGTTTGTCTTGTTTCCTTAATGTTGCGGCTGTGTGCCCAGTGCCTGCCAACTACAGGCGTGATGGATTCATCCATTTGTCAAGCTTTCACTGAATGCCCAGAGCCTCATAAACTCAGACACGGGCAGTCAGAAGTAACCAAGGCTTGATTTCTGAGATTGGGTGCCTAATGAAACCTCAGGCAGTCTGCAGGGTAAGTTTATAAGCTCCCTGGTCTATTGCCACATGTGCAGGATGCTTGTAAAAGAAGTCTTTCTGCCTCCAAACCAAAGCAGACAGAAGTGGCAGCTCATTGGCAAACACTTAGTGAGAGTTCCCACCTGCGGACATTAATTGCAACAGTTTACTGTGCGAAATCTTTGGAGGTCCCTTAGCAAGAAGCAAAGCCCAGCGGGAGGGTACTAACCATTTAGCATTCTCTAAACACCTGGGAGTGAAAGTTCACTTACTGAAAGCAGGGAGAGGTGGCATTATTGTAGCTAATGCACCAGCTTGCAAAGTTTCAGCCTTTGTGATGTGAAAGGGAGGTGCGTATTAAGATGCTGCGGGCATCAGCTTACCAGCTGCCATGCCAACCAGGTTGTACAAACACAGTTACGTTGGGGTGAGGATGCTGGCCAAGTCGCACTCGGGTTTTCCTGGCCTGGCACTGTGACCAGCGTCTGTTCTGTTGATGTGCCTGCCACTGCCTCCTCAGTGCTGATCTGACCACTAGCCAGGAAGGAGGGAGCAGGGGCTGCTTCTGGCAACGAGCTGGCTCAGGGGATGTGGAAGAGTCACTTTATTGGGGTCTCTTTACTGTTTTCTTTGAGGAGTTTATGACTATGGTGATGGAGGATGGGAGCAGACGGAGGAGTGTGTGGGAGCTGCTGGTGAGAGCAGGCTGGTGTGAAGGCCTCGGATCATGGCCAAGGCTGAATATGGGTCTGTGAGCAGGTGGACCTGTCTTTAGGACCCATCTCCCAGCATTCAGCATCCCCACCCCTCACTTGGCTTGGCTGTCTTTGAGAAGCGGATTTTGTTTTCTTTGGACTGTCGGGTGGCAAGTGGCCACCCTTTCCGGAGAATCCAAACAATGTGTATTTATAGAGGCCTGCTAGACCTTGGGGCTCTGACTGCGGTGGGCATGGGTGGGGACCAGGCAGGATCTCTGGAAGGCTTTCTCACTGTCTGGACTCCACCTTGGGCCACCTGGATTTGGATCCTCAAGGCATAAGCCCTGAAGCCCAGATGCGGGCTAGGCTCTTTAACTGGTTCTGGGGTGTACTCCTGGCTAGGAGATGGCGCTGGCTCCGGCCCCTGAAGACCAAGGTTACTGGGAGGCACAACTGCAAGGACTATGTTGCCTCTGCAGGCGGTCTGTTCCATCCCTGGCATTCAAGAGATAGCTTGCAATGAGAGGCCAAATCTTTAACCTGTGGGGAATCCTTGAAACTCACCAGGTATGACCAGTCAAGTCATACTGCTGTCTAAATTCTCTGATATTCTTGAAGAAAACTTATTAAGGTAATCTATGAAAAAGTTGGAGTTGGGGATGCAGCAGGAGAGAAGGAGGACAGAAAAAGAAACCATTTTAGAACCCCACTGTTGAGACAGAGCAGGATGTGGTATAGTAGAGTACTCAGAAATACACTTAGAGTGGCTTTTCTTTCTATGATGGCAAAAGTAGTGCTGTTCCTTGCAAAAGTTTGCAGACTGTGAAAACTCAGATAACAGAAAAATCCTTAACAATCAAACCTGTTAAAAACACTGTTAATATCTTTGTGGATTTCTTTCTCCCTTTCTTTAATGATAGGAATATTATATTTTTTTGTATTTTATTCTTCTTATAATATTCATCATTATCAAAAGCTGCCAAGCACTTATCTGCCTGACTGCTGTGTGGTAAGGGTCCACAGTGGACATTCTTCAAGGACTTTGAATCCCTCTGAACCAAAGTCTGACTCACCATAGTCTGACATTGCCAGGGGCCTGGCCCTGGCTTGTGGCTACTTGTCTTGCTGGCAGTCGGGTCTGGTTGCTCTCAGTGATGTTTTTGTGTCTGCTTGGGTCCTGCCTCGACCTGGGATTGAGCTCCTCGAGCTTGTGGTCCCATAGCTTTTCTCTTAGGTTAAGCATCACCAACAGATGTGGGAGGGGAAACTTGTCATGGGGACTGGTCTTCGGGTTCTTCCTAAAATCAGGTGGTTCTGAATGGTTGTAGTTGGTAGAGGAAGTATGGCGCCAAGGCCTGGGATGGTCAGGACTCTGCTGGACCAGACTGCTAGCTAATTCTGTGACCCAGGGCTGGGAATCAACTCTGAGCTCCATTTTCTTCTGTAAAAGGAATTAATAACTCTTCTGCAGCCCACCTCTCCAAGTCAGAAGGAGCAAGTAAAATGGTACATGGGCAAGTGCTTTATAAGCTGGTATAGCAGGCAAGCAAGCCCAGGTTGCTTGACAATGGATGTCCCAAGGTAAACCCACAAAAAGGTGTTGACTCAAGCCTCTCATTCTCCCAGACACAGCGAATTCATCGGCTGCATGAGCTTCGGGGTGAAGTCTCTTCTGACTCCAGACAAGGTGTGTACTGGGGTACTGCTGGTAGCCTCACCCCACCTGAGCCAGAACTGGGACGGGCAAGGGCATCTGTCTGTGAGATGGTACCCTACAGAGGCAGTGGTTTAGAGGCCTGAATAACTGCATTATTCATCACAGGCCTAGCTGAGGATTTGGGTCTGCTTCTAATTTGTCTTGCCAGAGAGCAGTTGTTAAGCATCCACAAGGTCTTGAGTCTGGTGCCTGCTATTGAGGATCTTGGCAGGTTACTTGAGGCCCAGCAATCCTGGGCTACCCTGGATAATCAGGGCCAGGTTTTCCTTGTGGCCTGCTCTAGAGGATCCTCTTGGTGTATCCACCAGGCCTGACATTGTGGGTCTAGCAGGTGCTGAGAGATGGGGTAAACAGCACATGCTCTGTGTGGAATTTCCTTCAGGGTGAGTGAGGACTCTGAGATACAGAAACCTCTGCTTTTGGGCCGTGAGTCCCTGGTCTTCCTCTGCTCTGCACTGTATCCCAAAAGCTGTAAGCTTTGGAACATGGGTGGGAGGTACTCCTTTTGCCAGAAATGTCCTGCTGGTCTGCTCTGTGTCCTGGAAAAGTTGAGGATGGATGGCTTAAAGCCCTATGTCCCTAATGGGGGCCGTAGTGACCGTGTCTTGATCATGGCCTTGAGTTCATTCCCTGAGGAGACTGTGCTGGCGCCTTGAGGATGCCTCCATCCTCTCCATCCTGCTCCCATTCCTTGCTTTCTGTTCTGAATCATGCATTTGCTGAGCTTCTCCTGTATACCAGGCAGGAAAAGAGATGGGTATCTTTCAAGAATGAGAGGCCAGGAGACTCTGCCCAGGGCATCAGTGAAGGCTTCCTGGAGGGAGGTCCATATGATAGCTGCGGGGCAGGGTGGGTAGAGTGTCTGTGTCTTCCAGAGGAGGCTGTTCAAGGGTGACTTTGGGGCAGAGGGTGGCTGCCTGACCAGCACCTCTGCTTCCTTCATTTGGGTGTGTCATTCTTCTCTTGGAACAGGAGGTCAGTGGCTGGTACTACCTTCTCGGGGAGGACCTGGGCCGCACCAAGCACCTGAAGGTGGCCAGGCGGCGGCTGCGGCCCCTAAAAGGTGTGAGCGCAACCCTGGCAGTACCCCTTGCCTGTGCTTCCTCTTGCCCTCTCTTTGTTCTGTGGCTTGTGTCATCCCGAGTCCTGAAACCCGTCATGTGCCCTTGCAGTACGCAGGCTCCTGCCCCTTGATGCCTGTACTTGTCTGGGTGGACTGCTGAACCTGACCCAGGTGGTTCAGCTCACCCCTCTGCAGGTTCGTGGCAGCTCATGGATGATCTCTCATGGGGTTCCTGGTCATGAAATCCTCCTCTGGGATGCCTTGCTGACCTGTGGAAACAGGGTGTCTAGACCCTGCTAAGCCTCCACTTCTGTCCTTCCCACACATGGCCCAGTCCCCAAATGGCCCAAACTCCAGGTGCCTTTGTGGTCCAGAGGCCAGGGATGATCCAAATAGCCACACAGACCTGTTACCCGGCCTCTTCTTGAGAGTGGTATGTACAACAGACCCTTGCATGCTTGCAGAACTGTTGTGACTCTGTTCTGTCATGTTTCAGACCCTCTGCTGAGAGTGCCAGGATGTGGGGACACTGAGACTGGAGAGAAATTCAAGGTAGGTGGGGGCAGGCTCTGGTGGGGCTGGGGACCCTGAGCAATGCTCCAGGGGGCAGGCTCTGATCTTCCCCTTGTCAGTTCTCACGCCAGGGAGACCCTAAGAGGGCTTAGCAGCTTGTACTCGGAGTGCAGCAAGCCTTATGTTCAGAAGACATTATTCTTTAACTCTTATCAGGTGTACTAGACGAAGTGCTATGCTTTTCTTGAGTTACTCACGATTATGGCCATGGTGGTGAGATGGCCAGGCCTCTACCACTGGAGATGGATGCATCTGCATCTTACTGCCTGTGGGCCCCCAGAAGCCAAGTCTACCCTCTGCCCTGGTCCATGGCTTCCCCTGACCCAGTGGCCAGGTCACCCTTTCTATCTTTCTTTCTTTTTTTTTTTTAAAGATTTATTTATTTATTGGAAAGTCAGATACAGAGAGGAGGAGAGACAGAGAGGAAGATCTTCCGTCCAATGATTCACTCCCTGAGTGCAACAGCCGATGCTATGCCGATCCAAAGCCAGGATCCAGGAACTTCTTCTGGGTATCCCACATGGATGCAGAGTCCCAAAGCTTTGGGCCATCCTTGACTGCTTTCCCAGGCCACAAGCAGGGAGCTGGATAGGAAGTAGAGCTGCTGGGATTAGAACCGGCGCCCATATGGGATCCCAGGGCATTCAAAGCAAGGACTTTAGCCACTAGGCCATGCCGCTGTGCCCCAGGTCACCCTTTCAAACTGTGCCCACGTGGGGATAGGGAACAGCTGCGACTTTGGACCTGAGGTTGTTGAGTTCTCCATTAGGGCTTTGAATGAGGAGAGGAACATTCCCCAGAGGTTTGGGAGAAAGTGCCAGATTTCCTTTCTTCTCCTCGCAGGGCACAGTGGAAACCTGCGGTTTTCTCCCACTCTTTAGTGCATGCTCAGTGTCTAAACAGCCGCTCCTTCCCAGGTGTTGGCATTACCCATCCCTCTCCTACCCTCTCTGAGGCAGTGCCCTATCTTACTGAAGATTCAGCCTGTGCTGCCTCTCAGCCAGCAGGTGGTAGAGGCAGGCTCTGAGGACCTCCAAAGGTATGGTGCCACACTGCCTCCTGCCTGTGGCCTGGGTCGGGGCAGAATGGTGTTGATGTCTTCCATATGAATATGTTAGGCATTGCCCTCTACAGTGCATTTTTCTTTTCATGGACTCAGGTCTTTCCTTCATTCTCCCATTTAGTGCCGCCAGCCACTGGGCCAGGCTCTGTTCTGGGTGCTGGGACATAGCCATGAGCATGGCCAAGTCCTACTCTGTATGGAACACACAGTTTATGATGGTGTAATCTCTGCCCATGGCTGTTGAATGCTTGAAATGTGGCTAAGGTGACCAAGGAATTGAGCATCATTTTAAGTATTTAATTCATTTCAGGTTTTCTTGTGCATAGGCCTAGTTGTGGGCAGCGTAATGTGAGAGTAGTTTGTGGGTCTGCTATGTATGGCTTTGTGTGGAACTTAAAGGCTTTCCTCTGGCTTCAAATGGGAGCTGCTGAGGCTTCTCCCCTCCATTTGCACCTGCTGAGCAGAGAAAGGGAGGACCCAGGGAGCCCATGGGCATCAGCACTGTGGGTTTTGTGGCAGCTTGAGAAAGTCCTGCTTTGTGCTGGCCTCTGCACCTAGCTCCTAGCCCCTGGGACACTGTCCCTGGGGGCAGTGGGCTTGCACACCAGAGCTGTGTCCAGGACTTAGCCAAGAGGGCCAAATTGTCAGATATGGTTGGGGCCAGAGGAGAGACCTCCAGGTCACCTGTTCAGCTCTTACACTGAGGAAGAGAGATTCAGGCCCAGAAACTGAGTGGGTGGGGTATGGGATACTGATGCTTGCTCAGCATCCCAGGCTGGGCTGGACCAAGGGATAGCTACTCTCAGTGGGGATGTAAGTGGTTGGATGGGGCTTCCCTAGAGTCAGCCCAGCAGAGGGGACTGGGCTCACCTTGTACTTTTGCAGGCTGTGCTCTGAGGTGATAAGGGGTGCTAGACGGGATGCAGAACCTGGGTTCTGGTCCCTGCCTGGCCACTAGCTTTTTGTGTGACCATTTTCATGGGTGAGACAAGGATACTGGCTCATCTAATGACCTAGAAATGTCACATTGGGAACCATGGTTCCCACATCACTTAATCTCTTCTATAGGCAAGGAAACAGACTTGAGGGTAGCTTGAGTGGATAGCAGAAAGGCAGGTCCTCAGAGGGTTCTGCCTCAGAGGGGCTGTTCAGGGGACAACCCTCCCAGATATCTCCTGGATCCCTTAGGCTGAGAGAGTCCCCTGGGCTTGTACTTGGGACCCTGGGACTTGGGGGCAGGTGGTGCTGTGGTTGGAGAGCCTGTTGGATGCGTTCTCTGCCTGAGCTCTCCTGTGGGCAAGGCTGTCTATGAGAACACTGGACTCGCCAAGTGGCTGGTTGGTGGGGAATGCAGCCAGAACAAAGGCGCCCTCTCCCCGCCAGGCCCAGGGAATACTAACGAGTTGACAGGAATTTTCATATTAAACTCTCCCCCTTCCTTGTTACTCGAGGATTCAGGAAGCCTTCAGGCTTATCATGCTGCGGCACACAGCGCAGACGGGGCCTGGGGAGGTGAGAGGTGATTTCCTGCCATTCTTTTGTAGTGGCTGTCTACATTGGGGCGGTACATTTATGATCTTTCTCGAGGTTTTATTTGTTTTATTATTTCAATGCAGTTTCTTCTCTCTTATTCTTCAATCATAACATTTTATCCTATATATCTTTAAATATTTTTTAAATTATTTTATTTTATTATATATATTTTCCATAAGTTCAATTCTTTATAACTATTCATTACAAAATATAATATTCGTTTTATTATTATCTCATTCTTCTTATACTTACTTCAATTCATAACCAATCCAATCTTTACATTCAATTATTTAATATATTTTCTAAACAAAAAACCCCAAAAAAAAAAAAAAAAAAAAAAAAAAAAACCAAAAAAAAAAAAAAAAAAAAACCCCCCAAAAAATAAAAAACCCAATATATATAATAATAATTATAATTTTTTTTATTTTTTTTTTTTTTTTTTTTTTTTTTACCCCCCCCCCCCCCCCCCCCCCCCCCCCCCCCCCCCTCCTGGCCGATCTGTTGGTTTTTGGTCCGGGGAGTGTGGGCAGTGGGGTATGTGTGAGGGACTGTATTGTGGTTGAATTGGCCCCCATGTGATGGCTCAGCAGTGATGGCTCGGTTGTGCAAGTTGCTGTTTACTTGTAAAAAAGGTGGGATGTTCCCATATTTGGGGACCTCGCTTCCCATGTCCCAGGTGCCTTGAGGTGCCTGGGGATGTCTCTAGTTCTGTGCCCCTTAGCCTCCAGTCTTGGGAAGTGTGGTGGAGTGTGGAATGTTCACCCTTTTAAGCTCCTGAGCCTCTTCTGGAACTCTGATGAAGTATTCTGATTTTACTGAAAGGAATGGGCAGGGAGGGTGAAGACAAGAACTATCTAGATTTAGGAAGCATCCAAATCAGAAGGGAACTCAGAAATTAGCTTTTATTTTATTTATCTTTTTTAAAGATTTAATTATTTTTATTGGAAAGTCAGATATACTGAGAGGAAAGACAGAAAGATCTTCTGTTATTGGTTTGCTTCCCAAGTGGCCGCAATGGCTGGAGCTGAGCTGATCTGAAGCCAGGAACCAGGGGCTAGGAGTCTTTTCCAGGTCTCCCACTTAGGTGTAGGGTCCCAAGGCCTTGGGCTGCCTTCTACTGCTTTCCCAGGCCACAAGCAGTGAGCGGGGTGAGAAGTGGAGCAGCCAGGACACAGACTGGCATCCATATGCAATCCTGGCAGATGAAAAGCAAGGATTTAGCTACTAGACCATTGCACTGGGCTCAGTTCTTATTTTAAAAACAGCAACAAATGCCTCTGTTGGTGTTAATGGCCAGGCTGGACTTTTGTGTGAGGTAGCACACAGGATCCCAGAATTCCCTAGTAGCTGGCCCTGGCCTGTATTCCCATTCTCCTGCAGCCAGACAGAAAGGCTCCTGTCACATGACGGTCAGGGGGCAGAGACGAGGAGTAGCCACAGCATGGGCTGGGATGTCAAGAAGTCCTTGATTCGCTCAGGATCATGGGCCAGAAGCCAGGGGTGCTCTGGCAGTCTGAGAGGGCCTTGTGTGAATTGTGGCTTGGTCAGGGCTCACAGACACAGCCGTAAACCCCACTCTGCCAGCTCGCAAGCTGTGTTACCTCTCAGAGCTTCAGTCTCCTGGTCACTGAACAGGAGCTGTGCGGTCCCGGGTGGGGTTTGGTGAGTGTGAATGGCTGTTTGCATGAAGGGGCACGTGGTTCATGTCTAGGAAGCATCCAGTAAATGACGGCAGGAGCCGTAGTGGTTCAGTGGCTGGGCAGAAGTAAGCTCCCGGCATGGCTAAGACCTGTAGCAGTGACCATTCCTGCTTGAACAGGAAAGAGCAAGAACCACCCCCAGGAAAGACAGCCTGTGACAGGAGTCACAGCCTGTGACAAGACGTCCCGGAGTCAGGATCTGGCTTGAGGCCCGAGGTCACAGAGGGGGCCGAGGAGAGCCTGAGTGTTGCCTCATCCAGGCTTTAGGGTCCCTCTCTGCAAAAAGGGTTGAGTAAAGCCACATTGCCCTGAGTTCCGCAGTGCAGCCCAGGCTGTCAAGTGTGAGACGCTGTAAATGCTCTGCACCACTGATGCATACTCCACGCCAGGCCACTCCCTCCCACGCCCTCCCACTGAGCCAGCAGGTGAATTTGCTTCAGGACCCTGCCTCCCCTCCCTGCCTCGCTCCCAGCTGGATAGCATTGGGAACTCCGGGGGACAAGGGCCCAGGTGAGACCATCTCACAAACACACTCTCCTCTTCCTCAAATTTGGGGTTACCACCATCCAAAAACTTGGCAAGCTAGAACCTGGGGTACTGGGCCTGCTTTCCAGGTGAGAGGAACTATGGCCGTCTGGTTCGCCAGGAGGACTGGAAAGTTCTAGAGAGGTTTTGTGGTGAGGGGTGGCTTGTGAGGTCCCCCAAATGCCTGCTGTCCCATGGAGTGCTCCTGGCTCCAGTTGTGTCCCTCAGCCTAAGGTGGCCTGGCAACGCCGGGCTATCCTTTCCTCCAGCTTTGCCATGGCCACCTCAGCTTTGTTTTTCTTTCTTTCCATTTTTTTTCCCTCTTCCTGACTTGGCTGCGTGTTTTCCCAGAATTCTTATGGGAATGGGGGTATTTTCCTGCCCCCTCCCCCTTCCCCTTGTCTGTCAGATTTCCTGTTTTACAAACTCGCTTTGAATCCAGGCCCAGGGCTGGTGGGAAGCAGAGCCTCAGCAGCTTCCAGGGACACTGGTCCCCCCGGGCACTCCCCCTCTCATTCTCCTTCTTCACGCCTAACCCTAACCCTAACCCTAACCAACATTGGGACAGCTGGCAGGTGAATACACATGCCCACCTTGAAGTGCTGACTGTTTCTGGGTCTGTGAGCCAGATTCTTCCTCAATATGCCTGGGACACCTTTGGCTATGCCCCTCTGGGGCACCTTAAGTCCCATTTGCAGCAAGTTTCTTTGCCACTCCAAAGCCTGTTTGACTTACACTCCTTTAGCAGCTCACTGGGATCAGTGCTAGGTGGGATCTTGCTGGCAGCTTGCTGGGTGGACAGCATCCAGGCTGCTCTGGCTAACTTGGCCTTGTACATGGCCCTGCCTTGCACTTAGGGTGGCATCCGAAGCCAGAGCCCACTGGATGCCTCACAGCACAGCCCTCAGGTCTTTGCTCTGCTGGTTATCACACCCTGCACTTCTCTAGGGAGACTTGTATGTCCTTGTCCCACCCCCTCCACCCCGCAATGGAAGCCAGAGGCCAAGACCACCCTCCCGCTGTTGTCCCTAAACACAAACTGGCATACAGGAGGAGTTCAATTGTTGTGCGTTGGTTTGAAAAGAATATCCCAGTGGCAGCACCCTTTCCTGGGGCTTCTGAAAGCAGGGAGTCATGCACCTGCTATGCAGGCCTCAGCAAGCACAGTGAGTTCAGTGGCTAGGTTAGCCGGGAAGCCTGTTTGTGCCCTCATCTGGCATGCCAGGGTGCCTTGAGGTCCTGGCTGTGGGTTACATCAAGGACCCCAGGCCTCTTCCTCTGAACCTTAGATTGAGCTCTAGCCTGGTTTCCCTCCCTTGTATGCTCAGTGTGGGAGTTGCTGCAATCACATTGATTATGACTTATGGTCATTAGCACCGATCTAGCCCTGTGCCAACACCCCAGTGGTCGCTGTGGCAAAGGAGGAAGAAAATGTGGGTAGTGGACTGGCTGCTTCTCGGCTCTGGTCCTCTTGGAGAGGACCATTGCTCTGAGTGCTGGGCCTGGCTTCCGGCCTGGCACACTTCTGGGATTGACCGGGAGGGCTATGTTCTAGATTACCATCCCTAGGGGGAAGGACGGTTTCGGCTTCACCATCTGCTGTGACTCTCCAGTCCGTGTCCAGGCCGTGGATTCTGGTAAGTAAGAGCCTGATGTATGTGCATTTGGGGAGGGAGGGAGTGTTGCCTGCTGCAATTGCCTGCGAGGCACTTGGGCTTTGCACACACACAGAGAATGGAGTGCAAGGAGGCTCATGCTGGAGTGCAATGCCCAGACTGTCACAGTGGAAAGATAATATTTTTAACTAACCATAGATGAAGCTGAGGTTTATAAAAATATGCCACCTTTTTTTTAATTATCAAAATGAAAACATGCTTTTATATTTTGGTTCCCAATTGTTTGAACGACACCTAAGTCTGTATTTTCTGGAGTGGCTGCATGGGAAAATGAGAGTCATTCATTAACTCATTTTGAAATTGGTATTTTATCCAACTGTAAGCCTGCTAAACACTTGAACACAGTCATCCTTTCCTGTGTTTGGCAAATAAAATATTTTCCCTTTCCCTACACAATGTGCCTCTTACGGGCAGTAGCCAGGGTTCAGGGTTTGGGGATGGTTCAGGAATGAGAGAAGGCTGGTGCTCAGTAATCCATGTTGAAGGCATGGGTTAGGGTCTGCAGGACAGGGTTCCCAGGGAGATGGGAGGCCCTTGGGTGGGGCCTGGGTGGCACAAGGTGATCAGGGAGCAGAGACTTGAGGCAGGAGGGGCAAGATAAGGAACCCCAGGGCCACCCTTCAAAGCTTCCCCTCAACACTCCCCCCATTCAGCTCTTCATTTCACAAAGAAACTCAGAGGAAAAGGGCAGGTGTTGTCCAACATCCCTGTAGAAGCAAAGCACTCCAAAGCCCTTTCAGGGTCTCCTGGGCTTCTGGAGCCCCTCAGTGGGTTTTCCTTGTCTGCACAGGAGGCCCAGCGGAGCGGGCAGGACTACAGCAGCTGGACACCGTGCTGCAGCTGAACGAGAGGCCGGTGGAACATTGGAAATGTGTGGAGCTGGCGCATGAGATCCGGTGACAGAGGCAGCAGGGTCTTTGGGCTGATGGGTCACCTTCTACCCCAAGACCCCCTCCACAACTGTCCATAGCCCAGGCACACTGCCTCACCCACCCTGCTCTGACTGCCCTGCCCTTGCCCAGACATGAGCAATTCACTTTGCTCCTCAGGGAATCCATTTCTTGGCTTGAAAATGGAGGGTTCAGACTCAGAGCATTTTGGGCTTTCTACTTTCTTCTGCTCCCGGTGAGCTAAGCCTGTTGTTGTGTAGGGCATGGAGATGTTATAAATGCTTTTAGTACATAGTTGCCCATTCCAATGCTTGAACCCTTTACATTTTGGGCTCTCTGGGATGAAATCCAAAAGCCTCCTGTTTTGATTTGCTTTTAGAATAACTAGATAAGAGCAGCATAGAGGTTACTTGCCTGCTCTTACTACAATACTGCTTGTTCATGACAGACATCATGGGTTGAGCACAGTGTTCTTTCCTGTTGATCTTGGACTCGGCCTCAGTGTTCTCGGCCACTGGCAGTCAGAGTTGACCTAGGAGATCTCTTTGCTGGCTCTGCTTAAAATGGCCATTGAATCCCTCCCCCACCTCGACACTGGAGTTTTCTCCCTGGGTCTGCTTCCCCTGCCTTTGCTCTCTAACCTGTGGGTCCTTGCCCTGGCTGACTTTGGTCTTCCCTAGGCTCAAATTCTCTGTACTACTCTCTCCCTGACACCCAACTTCCAGGAGCTGCCCCAGTGAGATTATCCTGCTTGTGTGGCGCATGGTGCCCCAGATCAAGCCAGGGCCAGATGGTGGGGTCCTGCGGCGTGCCTCCTGTAAGTCAGCACTTGACCTCCAGTCACCCCCTAACAAGCGGGAGAAGAACTGCACCCATGGAGTCCAGGCACGGCCTGAGCAGCGCCACAGCTGCCACCTGGTGTGTGACAGCTCCGACGGGCTGCTATTGGGCGGCTGGGAGCGCTACACTGAGGTGACCAAGCATAGGGGCCAGCACACCCTGCCTGCGCTGTCCCGTGCCACTGCCCCCACAGACCCAAACTACATCATCCTGGCACCGCTGAACCCTGGGAGCCAGGTATGGACTGCTGGTGGCAGGAGGTGAAGGCTTTGGGTTACCATGGGAGGCCAAGGAACCTAAGACTCAGAACCGGGCTGTGAGGAGCCTGTGGGGTGTTGGAGTGTTGAACGAGGATAAGGGCAGGTGCTAGCTCTGGTCTTGGTGAAGGTGTCATAGCAGAGAATGGAGATGGGTTGAGGCACAGCTCCAGGACTAGGGAGGGCACACAGTGTGCAAGATTTCCAGTGACACACAGCCTGCACTTCCCTATGCTGGAATGGGCCGTCTTGGGATCTGCTGGGCACCTGTCATTGGAAGTGTGAAGGCAGACACTGCTTGCATTTGTGGTAGGACTGTGAAGTGCAGTACCCCAAAACATTAGTACCGTGAGACATCCTGGGAATGTGTCCTGAGGTCAACTAAGTTTGGAGTCTCTGCTCTTCCTGTCCTGGGAGACTTCCAACATCTGTTAGCTCCTGGGGCTCTGAGGGTGTCCTGCAGTAAGGAAGGTGGCATCTTCCCAACTTCCCTGAGGGCACAGTAGTTCCAACCAACCTACTGTTTCAAGGTTCCGTGATATATATTGTGGTCCTAGCAGCTGCCAAGGAAGTCAGGCACTTGCTTGAGACCTTACTTGGCACCACAGAAAGCCTTCCAGGACTTGTAACACACTGGTCCTTGGTGCTGTGCAAGCTGCTGTTGTCATCTTTCCTTCCCCACTCCCCTGCCATGTGCTGGCTGCTCACTTTGTACCCCAGGTGCTGCTCTGTTCCTGGTGGCTTAGGTGGTTCTTGTGTCTCCTCCTTGCAGCTGCTGCGACCTGTGTATCAGGAGGACACCATTCCAGAAGAAGGTGAGTCTATTCTCTGTGGCCATGTCCTTCAAGGTCAAAGGCCTTTGGTGTCTTGGCTGGCCTTGCCTCCTCCTCTGAGCTCAGAGTCCTGGGTCCCCAGATTCTTTCCTTATTAGTAAGTTCTCTCATGCTCTGAAGCAGTGTATCTTTTTTTCCCCCTGAGGTCAGAACTGAGAAAGCAGAGGTGAGATCTTACCAGAGGGTGAGGTGAGGGACAGTGTTCAGGACTAGGGTGCTTGGTTGAGCCTCATCTAATTTTACTGAGTGATCAGAGTGTAAGGTGCTGTAGGCAGCATGGCTGGGCCTGTGTAGAAAGGAATCATGGAATTCTGAGTTTGAACAAAGTGGCTTCAAGCAAATCATGTCCCCTTACTAAGCCTCTGCTGCTCCTGGGAGGATGAAAGAGAACCAGGCTGGGCTCAAACCTGTAGGTGGAGAGGCCTCACCGAGCATCCACATTTGAAGTGTGCAGCTGTGTCTGCTACTTGGTGGATTCTTCTCTGGCCTTTGAATCCAGATGCTGGGCTCAAACCTGTATGTTGGGACTGGCATTGTGGCCCAGTGGGTAAGGCCTTTGTCTGCAATGCCAGCATCCCATATGTGTGCCAGTTTGAATTTTGGTTGCTCCATTTCTGATCCAGCCCCCTACTAGTGTGCCTAGGAAGGCAGCAGAAAATGGACCCTGGTGCTTGGGCTCCTGCACTTGTGTAGGGGAGGTCTGGAGGAAGCTCCTGGCTCCTTGTTTTGAGCTAGTCCAGCCCTGGCCCTTTCTTTATGGCCATTTGGGGAATGAGGCAGCAAATGGAAAATCAATCTCTCTCTCTCTCCTACCTTTCAAGTACATAAAAGAAATCATTTTTAAAAACAAACAAACAAGAAGACCCCAAAAAACTCACAACCTTGCTCCTTCTCCCAGGAAACTTGAGATTTCAATCTTTTAGAATATGTTTATTTATCTATTTTCACTCTCTGTGAAAGACACACAGAGAGAAATAGCTTCTACCTGCTGCTTCACTCGCCAAATGCTACAGCACAGCAGCCAGAGCAAACCAGGAGCCCAGAACTCGGTCCAAGTCTGGCACATCCGTACAGACATCCAAGGGTGCACATCTGTAGGAAGCTGGATTGGTAACAGAGCTAAGCTGAAGCAGGCACTCTGACATGGGACATGGGCATCCCAAGTGGCATCTTCACCACTATTGCATCGGACACCTGCCTCTCAGCTGTCAGTTTTAGTGATGGAGTTGGCTGCATCTTGTTTTAGGCCCTCCTTGCACCTGTTGGAGAGCTCCGACCCCATGAGGCTCAGGCACTGATGGAAGGTGCCTTCTTTCTCTCTAGAGCATTTGGTCTGGTCTATAGGAAATGGATCTTCATTCCACCTGGGAGGAATCTGACAGTGAATCAACAATGAGTTTTTAAAAAGCTTTTAGTCAGCACATTAGGTTTGAGTGGAGGTGCCGCTGCTAAGTGGTGACTTCATTAAGGGCAGGGCTTGGGCCTGTGTGTCCAGTGTTGTACCTAGGGCATGGCAGACAACAAATGCTCGGTAGAATTCTGGTGGAATGACTGACCAAAGGAGAAACATTCTAGTTACCTCTAAGGGCTTAAAGCTGGGTGACAGAGGAAGAGAGAAGGCTGGGAGTGTTACCTGCAGTTTGTACATACTAGGTGGTCAGGGATTGAGTCCCTCTGTGCCTGGGGATGTCTCTGAGTCCCTGAAGTGCTCCCAGTTCTGCATGCTTGTTTTCATTCTGCACCCTGAGAATCTAATACTTGGTGAACCAAGAAGGACACAGTCAGATATGCTGTTGGGGAAAAGGACAAGTAGGGAAAAGATGAGGATATCAGTAACAACAGGGACTTTCTGAATATCTTGCATTAGGATCTTGATTTTACTTCATGCATTCTTCATAACAATAATCCTTTGCTACACAAGCATATTTATGCTATTTTCCAGGGTGCAAACTTTCATAGTTCCCAGTTGTAGGGTTCAGAGGGAGGGGTGAAATTCATGGTACAAGGCTGCCTTCACACACTTGCGGTTGTGTAGAGGTTAAGGATATCACCAGAGAGCAGCTTTTTGGTGCCTGCTTCCCCTGAGTTGGGCTGCAGATTGCCTTTCAGAAGGGAGGGTAGAGTCATTCTGAGTAGACCAGGGTCTGACGTCCTTCTGGGGCCAGGAGCACCTGCCTTTCTGTGGTTCACAAGTTTCCCAGGGTTCCTGGTACCCTTGGTATTGTCCCCTGCCCTATGGAGGCAGCCTAGCCTCAGATTCATCCCTGACATGGTGGGATGGCTGCTGGGGCTTGCCTTGGAAGCTATGGCCAAAGCCACCTCCCAACTGTTTTTGCCCAGTGAAGCAGGTGTTAGAGGAGCAGGGGGTGTTATCAGGGTTTGGGCCAGATATCCTTAGAGGTCACAAGTAGAAAGTAAAAGAGGTCACAGAACTCAGTAGCTGGGTTGCAATCTGGGATTGCTCTAAGAAAAGCATACTTTAAGGCTAGGTTGGCAGGACCAGGCCCACTTATTATTTCTTAGGGTTGTGGAGATGAACTTAACTGCCACATGGGATGGTCCATCTTTGTGTCACTTGCTGGCCAAATGACTTTGTGGAAGTCACAAACTCAAGGTGAAGATTCTGTGATAGCCCTAGGCAGCTGGACTGTGGCAGCAACGATATGAATTCTTTTAAGTCTGAAACAGGGGGCTAAGGCCCAGGATTTGGCTCCTGCCAATGATACCTTTCTTTAGTTTTGCCCCAGTGCCTTGCTTGTCAGTCCTGCATGTTTTTTACCTTCTTTGGTCAAGGCATGGGAAAATCGGTCTGTCAAGTTCCAGGTCCACCCTGTGGCTCCATTCACAGCATGGTGTGAGGCTCAGCCTTAATTTCGTCTGTGTCTCGACCCGAGGAGTTGGTTACCCAATGATGGGCTTTGCAGTAATGTCTTACCCATTCACACTCAGGCCCACTTGACTAGATCTTTCCCATCAGGTCCCTCATGCGAGCTTCCTATGGGCTCTAGGGGCAGCATGTATGTGAGCTCCACTTGGTAGTGGAGCAAGCTCCGACTGCAGGGGCGACAGCCTGCTCCGGGCTGCTCAGCCAGCCCCTGACTGAGGAAGTCAGTGTCCTTGCCCTGAACCAGCCCAGATCTTGACACCTGGGAGGGCTTCTCTGCAGAGGACCTGGCAGCACAGTCCACTCTGGGGCCAACCCAGGCAGGGAGCTGTGGGGTCTCTTCCTTGCTTCTGCCCCAGCCAGGCTTCCTGCTCTTGTCTGGGTGGCTCTCAGAAGGGGCAGGAAGTGGTTTGAGTGATCACAGTTTGAGTGCTGGCCCCCAGGTTTGACTGTGATCGGTGGTCTCTTACTGGGGGCCGTAAGCTTGTTTTCCTCATCTTGTTGGTAAGAATGGGCACCAGGTGGGAGGAGGGAGCGATTGTGAAACCCTTTGAACTAAGTTTTTCTCCTTAGGGTTATAGGCCATGCGTTGGTGGGGGGCTCCCCTGAGATGTACAGAGCCACTTGTTTACCTGATAGCTGCCTGGGCTGGGGGTGGCAGGAGGAGGCTCGGGAGCTGCTACACAGACCTCTGGTGGGCTCAGTCGTGTGTTCACAAGTTCCCTTGAAGAGAACCCCAAGCCCTCAAACTGGGACTCTCTTTCCTGAAGGTGACCTTGCTTCTCTCTCTGTCCCTTGTTCCCTCTTTATGGTTTGAATCATCTGTGAGTTGAGGAGTTGCTGACCAAGCTGAAGTATCTCCCAGGCACCATGAAGCCTGAGACTCCCAGAATCCTGTGGGATACCTCATTTCTGATCTTGGCTTTTCTGAGTGAAAGAATCACAAGCACGTGTTAGGAGTGAATTTTTACTGCCCACACAGGCACTGTAGTTCTAGGGAAGCATCTCGTTTACTCCCCACAGCACCCCAGTGTTGGGGAAACAGGATTTGCACGTGGCCATCTGACCTCAGAGCTTGTGCTCTTGCCTGGGAACTGGGGCAGCAAGGACCACTTGTTCCTGATTTGGGACTGGCCAGGGTGAGCCAGGTTCCTCCAGCACCCTTGTTTAGTGAAGGACAGGCTCTGATAGTTGTGGGGAAGCCCATTGTCTCTGCTTCCAATACAGAGCCCAGTCTGTGGCCAAGACAGCAGAGCCAACTGTGTGGGGAGTAGTGGGGATGGGGGATGGTACAAGGGCCAGCGGTATTCCTGCCATTGACTGGTCTATAGGGCCTATGGACCCAGAGAGGTAAGATCAGGATTTTTTCCCCCCAAATATGAGCAGTTTCTTGATTTGTATGGAGGTCGGGGGAGAGGGCACACACTGACAGGTCTGATTCCTGGCTTGGCTCACTGATGCCTCTGTCACAGTCAGTGGGTCCCAGCTCTGACCCTGCCTGGAGTTCTCTGTTTACTTGCCTATGTTTCTCACTAGAATGTGGAACAATTCCTGGAGGCCTGAGACCTGCCTGGAGCCTCTGTACAGTCTCAGCACTTTCCATGAGGTCTGACACAAAGTAGATGCTCAGGAAACAGGAGTAGTCCCCATTCCCAGCTCCTACAGAGCTTTGCAAGGGTGATAAGTTACCTCATGATTCCAACCCCCTCTGTTTCACAGAATCAGGCAATCCTAGCAAAGCAAAGTCCTCCACAGGCCTGGGGAAGAAGTCCCGGCTGATGAAGACAGTGCAGACCATGAAGGGCCATGGAAACTATCAGAACTGCCCGGTCCTGAGGCCACATGTCCCGCACTCCAGCTACGGCACCTACGTCACCCTGGCCCCCAAGGTCCTGGTGTTCCCTGTCTTTGTTCAGGTAAGCCTGTAGCTAGCCCCAAGCTCCCCTTGGAGAGGAGAAATGGCTTCAGATGCTCAGTGTCCTGGGGTTTCTCCGAGGGAGCAGAGAGTTCCAGAAGGATGCATGGGGAAATGTGAGGGGTAAGGAAGGTAGGCAGGTACTGTCACCATCTGGATGATGTGCAGTGCCTGCTTGCCAGTCTGGGTGATGTGCAGTGCTTGCTTGACAGGGTCCTGCTGTCTGCCTGCAACTGTTTCTTGTTTGGAAATGGTCCAGGGAGAGCCCAGAGGTCTGATCTCTTATCAGGTCTCCTTGATCTCAGCAAACCTGTGTGCCAGTGCGCCCTGGTGGCCCAGAGCTTTCCAGAGCATTTTTCTTTCTCTTCCTCCCTGTTTCCTTCTCCTTCTCATTACTACTCTGTCATTCTGGTAAAACTAGTGGTAACAGTAGGTGTCTCTTCTGTATTCAAATACACATTTAAAAGAACCGAACAGATTACATTTCATATCCTGTTGCCCTGTTAATACACACATTAAAGCATGAACCCTGCTAAGGCTGCACATCATTCCTTGGGTTGTTTTCTGCTGGCTGCACATTCTTCCGTGCTATGGCTGTGCCGCCTTCATTTCATGAGTTCTCCATTCAGACACTTCTGAGTGTCTATCCTTCGTCTATTGTGGATAACTCTCTGATGAAAATCCTTGCACATGCATTACCTCTGATTATTTTCTTTGGAAGAGTATTCCTAGAAGCCACATGGCTGGGTCATTGGTCATAAACATCCTTAAAGGCTTTTTACACACTTGATCACAGGCTGTTTGGGAAGATTCTATTCGTTTAGCCTCTTTTCAGCACCTCCAAGAGGATGCAGTCCCAACAGCTTCATTTCTCACCATGCTTCCTACTCTGGTCTTGGCAGCTGCCTACCCAGGGCCTGTCATTTGTCCTGTGCATCTAGAACTCACACTGTGGTTTGTTGGATGCATCACTGGGACACAAATGCATCTCTTGCACAGCTTTCTGGGCACAGCCTGGCTTCTACCAGTCTCTGGGTTGCCTCTCTTTCTTAGGATGTAACATAACGGCCTTGCCCTCCCAGGAAGCTATTATTTTATTTTGTTTTTGATTTTTAAAGAAGATTTAGTTATTTGTATTGGAAAGGTAGATTTATAGAGAGAAGGAGAGGCAGAGAGAAAGAGTTTTCATTTGCTGGTTCATTCCTGAATTGGTCGCTGTGGCCCAAGCTGGGCTGATCTGAAGCCTGGAGCCAGGAGCTTTTTCCAGGTCTCCCAGGTAGGTTCAGGGTCACAAGGTTGTGGGCCATTCTCTACTGCTTTCTCAGGCCACCAGCAGGGAGCTGGATTGGAAGTGGAGCAACTGAGACACTAACTGACACCCATACAGGAGGTGGAGGATTAGCCAGTTGAGTGTCACCCAAGCTTCTTTTTTTTTTTAAATAAACAATTAAAAGTTAGTTTTTCAAAGTTAAACTTTTAAAATTGTGAAATACAAAAGCTAAAAATGATGTCTGACGCTTAAATGTCTGATCTGATGAGTAAGGTGTCTGCTAAGATGAGGAGATAGACTGGGACTGCCATTTTAGAAGCCTGTGTGTCTCTGCTGCTTATCCTGTGTCCTTCGCTGTCCTGACGGCCAACATCTCCTTGTTTTTCTTTTGTTGGCTATTGACATATGCTTCACATACATTTGGTGTGGCCTCTTGCTAAATATGGTTTAATAAAACCATCCCATGTCTGGTTTTTAGCTGCTGCTACTCGTGCTTCATGTGATTTATGAGCTTCATTTGGGTTGTTGCGTGCACTTGCTGTTTGTTTCATTATCTTCCTTCCAGCCCTTGCAAGGCATGTTATAAATAGATGTCCACAAGGCCCTGGTCTGCTGGGTAGAGCAGGGCCTGCCAGGGAACTCAGGACTTAGGGAGCTCCTTCCGGGGCCAAATGGGAGGCAGGTGAGAGGTTTGGGGGAGACTTGGTCACCTGGGAACTGGTGGCTGAGAAGGAGTTACGTGGCTCAAGTGGGTAATGAATACAGAACAGGGCCTGGCCTGGAAGGGACCCAAGTGACCAAATCTCTTGGCATGTGGTACCCAGGATACTTCTAGGGTCTGATGGCTGGGACCTGCCTGGGAGGCAAGAATAAGACGATGGAGAAGTAGAGGTGGAGGGGAGACTGGGAACTCAGTGTCAGGAAGCAGGGAGTTCAGAGGAGGTCTGCAGAGGGCCTCAGCCGGTGACTTCCTGCCTGAAAGTGTGGCTGTCACGTGAGTGTTGGTGGGGAAGGTGGTAGCCACAGTTCCACAACAGACTGGAGCATGTCCTTCCGTTTCCAGCTTGCATTTGAGGGGGCAGGGGACACGTGGGTCTGTGGGCCGCTGGCTGACAGTCCCCTCTCTGGCTGTCAGAGGCCTCTCCAGGATTGGGACTTGGCAGGTCACCACCCTGCCCTGCCTCAGCCCTGCCAGGCTCTCTGAACCCACTCGGCTCAGGCCTTGTCTTGCTTTCAGCCTCTAGATCTCTGCAACCCAGCCCGGACACTTCTGCTGTCGGAGGAACTCCTACTGTACGAGGGGAGGAACAAGGCTGCTCAGGTAAGACTCACACTCGTTTGCCTGGGGAGGCTGACTTTGGGGCCTCTCACCCTTCTCCCTTCCTGACAGTTTTGCAATTGAACCATCTCAGGCTATAGGAGGCCTGGCGAGTCTCCCTGTCCCCCATCCCCTGCCTCACCCTTACCAAATGGCTAACCTGCTCTTTCTCATATATTTTTGGTGATGGTGAGCTCAGCTCCTGTCAGAGCTGTTCAGTCCTTGGCTGGTTGGGAGGTCTCCCTAGCCCCTAGTTAGTCCCTGCTTCCTGAAAGGTGCACACACCTGTGCCACACTGTGATGAGTGGCTTTGGAGGGGAGAAGACGAAAGCAGTTAGCCAGAAAGATGTTTTAGGGACATGTTGATGATGCAAGTTTTCTGATTCTCTATTAACCCAAATCCCAAATCCCCTGCTGATATGAGTCCATGATTTCTCCTAGCCAGACCAATGGGGCTTGGGGGTGGGGTGGGGCCGTGCTTCCTGGATGCTCAGCCTGCTTAGTGCTCGTTGTAGAAGCTCACTTACCCACACAATCCCCCAAGTGCCCCCGGAAAAGCTCAGCCCCTGCATTTTGAGCTGTTTGGTAAGAAAAATGGGTGACCTGGAATGTGGCCAGGTGAGGGTAGAGGGATTCTGGCAGTTATGTCCTCATGCAGAACTGGCTTTGCCAAGTTCAAGCGTGGCCTGGGGTAGTGGACAGCTCAGAAAATACGGAAGCAGGAAGCCCAGATTTACCCCAGCTCTGCTACCATTCTCACAATATGATTTCTTCCCATTCCCTCCGTCTTCCCATCTTTGCAGTGGATATGTGTGTGTGTGTTCAAGGCAGCGAGAGCAGAATCTGAGGTTGGCTGACTTACCAGCTTAAGCATCTTGGGGCACTGTGTTTGCGCAAAAGCCATTGTGTTATCTAATCAGGCAGACCAGAGTTCAGAGGTTTCAAACGGGCATGGTTTTTGTCAGGGAGCTCCCTGAGGAAGCTGCACACTCATTTCTGCCACACTGGTGTTGTTTGCCAGCTTTCTGAGCATCTCCTCTGAACTGCCTTGCTCGTCAGGGGTTGGAGCTAGGTTTTAGCAACCAAGAGTCCCTTGGAGCTGTGTGTGATGAAAATGCATGTGGTTGTATCAGGAGTGCAAGGGTCAGAGGGTGAGGCATAAAATCATGAGGGCGAGAGGAAGGCAGTTGGAAAGGGCAGCCACTTCAAAACGTAGACAAGGAAGGAGCCAGCATTGTGGTGTGGTGGATAAAGGCGCTGCACACTAATGCAACATTCCACTTGAGTATTGGTTTGGGTTCTAGCTGCTCTACTTTCTATTGAACTCCCTTGTACTATGCCTGGGAAGACAGTAGAAGGAAGCCCAAGTGGTTAGGCCACTGTATCAACATGGGAGACCTAGAGGAAGCTACTGGTTCTTGACTTTGGTCTGGCCCAATCATGGCTATTGGGACCATTTTGATAGTGAACCAGTAAATAGAGTATGTTTCTCTCTGTAAATATACCTTTCAACTAATAGAGAAATGAATCTGAAAAAATAAAAATAATGAAAGGATATTATGAAAAAAGTTCGCGGAAAGTGAAATTAAAAGCTAAATGTGTTCTGCTAAAATGTTCTGGATTCCATGCTTCTGAGAGCTCTTCAAAAGGTTGAAGAAAAATACATGTTTTATAAAGGCTACACATGAAATAAACTTATCTTTTAATTATGTTTGAATTCCATTCTGATATACCCTTACACATGTCTAGATTTTCTCTTTTACATTTTGCTTACCTTCAAACCTGCAAAAATTTTTTATGCCTTGTTTGTTTATTTGAAAGGCAGAATCCCGGAGAGAGGTATTGGGGACGGGTAGGGAACAGAAAGAGATCTTCCATCTGCTGACTCACTTTCCAAATGACTAGAGCAACTGGCACTGGGCCAGACTGAAGGCAGCAGCCTGGATCTCCATCTGAGTCTCCCACACAGGTGGCTGGGGCCCAAGCACTTAGGCCATCTTTTGCTGTTTTGTCAGACAGGAGCATTTGTAGGGAGTTTGATGGGAAGCAGAGCAGTGGGGACTCAAACCAGCACTCTGATACAGGATGGTTTGGCAAGTGTCAACTCAATCCATTGTGCTACAGGGCTGACCTCTAGCCTATTGGAGTTGTTCTAGTGTGTCTTCCCTGTAGACACACAGGGAAGTAGATCCCATAAGTTGAGTGTTCCCACTCTGTGGTTGTGGAAACTGAGGCTGCAATGAGATTCCCTGGAAACTGTATGTTTCAAGGCTAGGGAAGGCTGGAGCCAGGAATTCCTATCTCAGTCTGTGGCTCAACACTGCTTCCTGGGATCTCATTCTGCCTCTGGCGGGACTTTAAAAACGAGCCAGTTAGTCCAAGCTCAAGCCATTCAGAGGAACCTTTGCCTTATACACCTTTGGAGCCTTAAAACTCAGAACATCCACCCACCCCCCTGAAGATTGAAGGAAGCGATCTTTTAAATAGATTTATTTATTTTCATTGGAAAGTCAGATTTACAGAGAGGAGGAGAGACAAAGATCTTCTGTCTGCTGGTTCACTCCCCAAGTGGCCATAACGGCTGGAGCTGAGCCGATCCGAAGTCTTGAGCCAGGAGCTTCTTCCAGGTCTCCCACACAGATGCAGGGTCCCAGGCTTTGGGCCATCCTTGACTGCTTTCCCAGGCCACAAGCAAGAAGCTGGATGGAAAGTGGAGAAGTTGGGATACGAACTGGTGCCCACATGGGATCCTGGAGGATGCAAGGCGAGGATTGTAGTCACTTGGCTATTGCACGAGGCCCGAATGAAGCAATTTAACAAGTAAAATACATTCCTTCCTCTTGCACTGTGATAGTAGTTAAGGATGTGACCCTTGGTGCCTTATTACGTTATGGAGGCCAAGAATACAAACCGACTCAACAAAGATTTGGATAAATCCATTGAGCCTCTGTGTTGGCTGGGCCCTCCAGAATGGTTTCTTCCAGTTGCTTCCCTGTAACTTTGCAGCTACAGAGTTCTTGGTCAGCTTTTGAATTTGTACGGGAAGCATTCCTGGGGAATGGAAGCCTGAAATTGTAGAAAGTATCTTTATGCACAATGAGTATCTTTCTGGATTATTCTTTTCCCTTGCTTCTTTGTCTTATCTCTTCTCTCAGCAGGCTCAGATTTGCTAATGTCTGTGAGCTGATCCAGTCCCACACCATGAACTGCCCTTATCACACCCTGCGCTAAAAATCACACCCTTAATGTGTCCTGAGATCGGACCAACGAGCACTTCAGAGCAGCCTCATTGAAACCTTCCAACTATAATTACTGCGCATGTGCCATGGAGCCAGGTTCCAGGAATATTGTGAAGCACAAGGCAGACACACCCTTACATTACATCCTGACTCCTTCAGCTTACCCATTAACCAAGGCACCAAGGTTTTTTTCTGCAAACCCTGCCCTTAGGCTGGATTCCCAGGTGAAGGTATAGTTATGGCAGCTTAGGAGAAATCACCTCCCAGTTTGTGACGATTTTGGCAACCAGGCGATCCCAGCAATGCCTGGCCCTTTGGGAAAACAGGTGCATCGTTGGAGTAAATGTGAAGACACCTGTGACTGCCATGGACTGGGCAGGGGAGCTAGCAGGTAACTGGACCGTGGAGATTGCATTACTCTGCTGTGGGCTGCTGTGAATGCGGCTGGAGTCAAGCCAGCAGGATGCTGGTGACGTGGGAGGGGGGCCACATGCCCTCCCTGGCATGTTTGCCCTCTGCCTTGCCTGCAGCTGTGTGCCAGTTCTGTCCTTTCCCTGACCTGACCCTTTGGGGAAATTTTTCATTCATGCCTTAATCACTTCCTGTCTAGACCATATTCTCAACTCTGGGACTCTGTGGCCCAGCATGGCCTGGGGCTGTTTTCACCTGGCCTAGGCTCCTTCCATCCAGCCTTTCCTGGGTCTGGGCCATCTTTTGCCTACGCTGGTTGTCTTCTCCAGTGCTTCCTCTGTTGGCTTTCCTAAGGGTCCAGAGATGACTGCCGGATTGCCCTTGTGAGGGTTGTAACTAATTTAGAGCCTTGTTGCTTAGCTTGCACTTTGAAGTTCATGCCTCAGACAGCCAACCCCTCACATGCTTATGAACTCTTATCTCTTGTTTTTCCCCCTTCCTTTAACTACTTTCATATTGTTTTGTCTCCTTTTGTTCTGTTTGGAATCCCTTTTTGGATTCTTTGATGCTCAAAAGCAGGATAATTACAGGGTCTGCCAGCCCAGGCTGAGGAGCCATGGATAGGCCACTCAGCCTCTCTGATCTATCCAGTCCTCCATGGTGCGGTCCCTATCAACCCATGGCTCTGCATCCTCCATGATTGGGCTCCACTGGAGAAGCCAGAGCTACTGCCAACCTCTAGCTTGATGACATCTGTCCCCTATTGTGTGTGTGGCCCAGATTTCCTATGCCCTGATGCTTATGTTACTTTCAGAAAGCCAAGTGGTTCTTGGAATATAAGATATTTTGAAATTACAATAATAACAGTCTCATTGCAAAACAATGGAAATTGAGCACAAATGTGTAAAGTAAAATCCCACTCTCCCAGAGCCTAAGGAGTGTAATGAGTATTCTCGGATCCTTAGAGAGGCCAACGCCATGGTGTATATATAGGTTAAGCCTCCACCTTTGGTGAATACATCTCGTGTAGACAACTGTTTGAGTCCTGGCTGCTCCACTTCCAACACAGCTCACTGCAAATATACTGGGAAATCAACAGAGGATGGCCTAAGTCCTTAGGCCCCTGCAGTCATGCGGGAGATCTGAAAGAAGCTCCTGGATCCTTGTTTCAGACTGGTATAGCTCTGGCCATTGTAATCTTTTGGGGAGTGAATCAGCAAATGAAAGATATGTCTTTCTTTTTCTCTATATAAATCTGTCTTTCAAGTAAAAATAAAAAAAAATTTTAAATAAAGATCTGTAGGGGTGAGGTGCCTAGATTAAAATGCTCCTTGAGAAACCCACATCTCACATTGGAGTGCCAGAGTTCAAATCCTGCTGATGCATCCTGGAAGGCAGCATGTGATGGTTCAAGTACTTGCGTACATACTACTCTTACAGGCAACCCAGACTGACCTCTGGTCTCTTGACGTCTTCCTGGCCCATGCCTGGCCAATGTGGATATTTGAGTAGTGAAATGAAAGTTAGAAGATCTCTCGGCCTGTCTATATCTCTCTGCCTTACAAATTAAACTAAATATAGTTAATTAAAAATAATTTACTAGAGAGATTTATGGTTTTGTTTTACAAAAGTGGATCACACTCTAGGTATTTCTGCACCATGTACTATTTTCTGATAGATTTCTATTTTTGCCTACAGAGTTCTACTTTATTCTCTTAATAGTCATAACAGTTCTGCCACATGAAGGTGACATAACTTATTTTATCTGTCCTCTTTTTACATTGTTTTCATCTTTCAAATGCCAGAGTATTGTCAAGAACGTCCTTGCATATTGCTATCCACACATTCATTTGTTCTTGCAGGATAGGGTCTTACAAGTGAACTTTGGGGTCGTCTTTCACAATTTTATAGCTAAATGTCCGCATGTTGACTCCTTACACTTAAGCAATAATCCAACATACTCTCGCTGTCCCCGTGCGTATGTCCCGAGTACTCTGGCAATTCGTTTTACTAAATAAGAGATGGAGTGTCAGGTTTTTACATCCCAAATAGGAGTTCAAATAATTAATATTTTGTTTTCTTTGGGGGAATCTAAAATTGGATTTTATTGCTTTTGCTGAAAGGCCATGGTAGGATTTACACAACAAAGAACAGTGTAATCCTCAGTGGCATTAGGGGATCAAGTGGATTTTTTTTTTTTTTAGCCTAGAAATATGCTGGGTGTGCCTGTTGGTTTACCTACAATTTCTAAAAATAGTCTTCTGCTTTGTTTTTTTTTTTTTGGAGCAAAAAATACATAAAGGAGATAAAAGGCATGTACATATCTATAGTGGAGGATGAGGAACTGGCTTTTGCTTGAACAGATTTCTGATGAATGCAGCTAGAGTTTTTCACAAGGGCTTTGGAAATAGAACCTCCCTGTGCACGATGCCTGACTTGAGTTTCCAGAAGACTTTGGCGAGAAGGACCTAGGACCCAGCAGGAGGTAGTCATTTGATCACAGAGGTGGGCTGGGGACCTTGTACTCCAGAGGAACCTTCAGGGTAGGTCTGCCATGGGGCACGAAAGTCCCTCTTTGTGCCCTGTTCCATTTCTCCTACTCTGAGGAGTGGAAACGTAGGAAAGTGGCGGTTGTGGGGGGTTGTCTCCACTGCAGGCAGCTCTTTGCACAGATCCGGGTTGCTCTTGTTCTGCCCCAGATGCCAAGGCATGCCCTCTGTTACTGTCCGGGGGGCTGTGGTTCCCGTGTCCAGGGCACAGTCGGAGCAATCAGTTCTGTTTGTCGTCTCCCGGCACAGGTGACCCTGTTTGCCTACTCGGACCTGCTGCTCTTCACGAAGGAGGACGAGCCAGGTCGCTGCAACGTCCTGAGGAACCCCCTCTACCTCCAGAGCGTGAAGCTGCAGGAAGGTGAGAGGTGCCCCTCTGGGAACAGGCTGCAAGTGGCTGGCTCAGCACTGGCATTCCATTCTAGGCTGTGCCCTGAGCTTTCCAGGGACATGTTTATCCTCCGGAGCAAGTGCGTGGGAAGAACTTTGTCCTCACACAGACCTGTGCCCGTATCTTAACCCAGCCTCTCATGAACAGATGACCTTGGAGGCAAGTGACTTAGCCTCTCTGTTTCCTCTGTGTGAGTGGGGGATTTACAATAGCATCTTAGAAGATTGTGAAGATCCAATAAGGGCATATATCCAAAGGGCTGGCCCCCCCAAGGGTGCCCAATAAGTGCTTGTTGCCAATCATCTTGTGGAAGGGGCCTATTGCCCCTTCTGCCTCCAGCTGTGTGGCTTGTGGGAGTGTGGCGTGAATTGCTAGCCCTAACTTTGCATCACATCTCCTCACTTCAAGCTGGCTGGTCGGGAAACCAGCTGCGAGTATCTGTGGCGTGGCTTGGTTTGGCGCCTGAGGTCTCCGCTGCAAAGGGCTCTATTTCCTCTCCCAGATTATAAAAACAACAACAGACCTGTTTGAGCTCAGGGGGACAGAGGCAGGGAGGAAAATGTGACCTAGCAAAAGAATTCTGCTTGGGCGGGTTTTGCTCTGGGAAAACTTCCTGACTGTTTGCAAAGCCACACTGCACACAGGGCCGGCCACTCCTTCCCTGGAAGCAGTCTGTGGGAGAACAGCTCTCACCGTCTCTGCACAGGAAGGCAGGAAGGGGCTCTGAACTTTTCCTTCTCCGGCTCTGGCTTTCTCCTGCCGCACCACTGACAAGGGTGGCTCCTGACAGGCAGGCAGGCAGGCTCACCTGGCTGTGGGGCAGTAAAGACAAGCAGTCCCCTGAGTTGCTATCCTGGGAAGCTCCCCTGGACCAGCCAGAGGGAGACAGGCTTGAGGTCCAGCAACTCTGCCCTTGGCCATTTGGGTGCTCACCTGCTGCTGTCTGGCACCCAGCTCCCTCCATGCTCTTCTCTCCCCTCTCCCCCTACATGTACGTTTGTGCCCAGGTACAAAGTATCAGCTCTGCTGCCAGCTCCCTGTCCCCAGCTCATATAGCCTAGCCCAAAATGTGAGGAGCACTGCCTGGGGGTCAGGGGACATGGATAGTGTGTCACTCCAAAAGCTGGACCTTTGCTCTGTGCAAGGGTCTGGGCCCTCTGCCAGGTATGGGCCCAAGTCCAGAACTGTTTGCTTCCTGCTGTAAAGAAGGGAGGGGAAAGAAGGCTGCATTTCCAGGTGGAAGGGAAGGCTGGGGAATGGAGAGGGCAGTGGCAGACCTGCAGCAGCCATTGGGTGGGAAGTCTGGCCTTGGCCTTGCTGCTGAGCAGCCAGACAGCCACCCTTGCTCCTTCCCTCTTCCAGGCTTAAGCTTGTCTGATGGGGAAAGAAGGTTGGGGCCAGCTCTGACACCTCCCAGACAAAACCCCCGAAAGATAACAGAGAACTCCCCCCCGACCCCCAAGAGCCCAGCAGTGTCTGTACCTTCCTGTCTTCACTGCCCAGGCCCAGACTAGGACCTGTTTGGATATTCCCTCCCAGAGCTCCAAGATCCAAGACTTAAAGTTGAGGGAAGGGATGCAACTGTTAATCGCAATGCTGAGCTGAGGGTGACCATGGCCGGCTGCCTGCATGTGCAGTGTCCTCGGGCTAGAGACCACATCCTCGCCCTGCCCTTGGTGGGCCCACTTGAGCAGGGCTGGCGCTGGCCACACTTGTCCATGTCAGAGCTGAGAAAGAAGGCCAGTGGAGCCTGTTGGGGTGATGTGGGAGAGCTGTGTGCTCCTGCTCTGAACGGGCTTCAGGTGATCTTCAGGAATCCCTGGGGCTGCTGAGAAGAAAGCATTAAGGACACAGCAATGCTTAAGGCAGGTCCCAGCCATCTCTGAAACTTTCACCCACCCCTCCCCCAAGGCCAGCTTGTAGGTTCCGAGGTTCCCGGAAGTCCAGGGCTTCCTCCTGCAGCCGTAGTTGAAACCTCAGAACTCATTGTCCTGAGTCTGGTGCTCAGTTTCCTGGCTGCTTCCCCAGGCCCTGGAGATTCACCATAGCAGCAAGGGCCTGAGTCAGGCTTTAGAAGCTGGGAAAGAGGCCTCAGCTGGACTCCCTGTGAGCAGGATTGTCTCATTAACATTGCTCATGGCAGGAAACTGGTTTCTGGTTTGTCTCTTTGAAATCTGACATGAATGTCATGGTGCGCAAGGATGGTTCTGGCCTGACCTGCTGGTAGTTGGCACTGGCTCAGGACTGGTCCCTGGGAGCAGGGAGCCGCTCTGCCCCAGGGACCAAGGACTCCCTGTATAACATCTGAAGAATCTTTAACTCCTGAGGCCATGCACACAGCCAGGCCTAGCACGGGACACCGAACATCATGGGTACCCCATGAACATTTGTTGCACGAGTGAATGAATGACCACAGGGAAATGCTGTTACAGCCCAGAATAGGAAGGGGTGAGATGTTTGTCGGAGGGGGGTGCACACTTCCTTCTGGGAGATCACTGAAATTCTGCCTGCCCTCCTCCTGCCCAGCCTTCAGCTGGCCTGTGGGGAATGGAATAGGAACAGGCAGAGAGCTGGTGCTCACAGTCAGGGCCTCTCCTGCTGGCCGGGCCCACTGTGGCCTCTTCCTGCCCCCGCTGCCCACCTGCTGGCTTTGTTTCTCTTTGTATCTCTGCCTCCCAGGTGGCAACATCACGCCCACAGCGTGTCTTCCTGACAGGCTCTAGTCTTAAGGAGCAGGCAGCAAGATGGAATCAGAGAGTGTGGGTCAGGCCAACACCCTGAAAAGCTGGGAGCGAGGGCCCTGGTGTGAGTGCAGACTGGGTCCCAGGGCAGCTAGTTCACCAGCAGCTCCCTAGATAAAAATAATCCTGTGCGGGGCGGGGGGTGGGGAGGGGCAGGGCTACCAGCCAAAGCTTAACATTAACAGCTGGCAAGTTGATGGGGGCTTGATCCCTGGCCCAGCATTCGCCCTGGGGAGCCAGGCACCCAGTATTGAAAACCTAGCTGCACAGGTCGCCACCGCAGGAATGTTTGGAGTTTGAATCTGAGACCATTCTATGTTGGCTCTGTGTGGGCGTCTGGGGAAGGAGCCAGTCAGAGATGCCTTCCCCTCTGGAGTGCAGGGTCTCGTGGAAAACCCATGGTGGGGCTGCGGGGGCGGAGGTGAGGCTGTGGTTTTCCACAGGCTTAGGAGGCCACCGCCTGAGTTCAAACCCCAACCTTGGTCAAGTTACTTTGTCCTGCTGGGCTTGTCTTTGGATCTGGAGAATCGAAGAGGAGAGGGTCACGTGAGTGGTGGAGATTGGACTCTCCGATCCAATCACAGAGGACTCTGTGGAAGTGACAGAGGGTCATTTCAGGGCTCCTGCCCCCTCCCCATGATGATGTTCCTGCCTGCCGTGGTGGGACATGAGACACACTCAAAGGCCATGTGGTTCCCTGTTGGCCCAGCATTTAGAGAGTTGAAAGGAAAACGTGGAGGGGTGTGACATCGTAGTCCTCTCCTCCAGCCAGCCGGAGAGACCCTGCTGGGTCAAGCCCTGACAACCCGCTCCTGCACAGCTGTGGCTCCCTTGGTTCTTTATGTGGCTCTGAGCCGTGCTGAGCACTGCCCCCATTCCATCCGTCTCTCAGAGTGCTGGCAGCGTGAGCTGTGACAGGGAGCAGATCTCAGTGAGCAACTGCAGTAATGCAGGGTGGTCAGGCCAGGAGGGAGCCGGCTGTCTGTCTCTTTCTGCCAGGGCATCAGTCTGGCCTCCCCAGCACAGGGAAGTGTGTCCCAGCATGTGTTCCCCTGACCTTGGCCACATGTCTCCTTGAGGCTCATCTCCTGAGCTTTCTCAGGCCTCCTGGAGTGTTCTCTTGTGTCATTGCCAGCTTTTCGAACAGACGTTCTGTCTGTTGCCCCCCATAGGCCTGTTGGCTGTCTCTTGGCACCAGGGTCTGCTTGTGGAAAGGTCAGCAAGCAACCCAGTGCATCTGTTAACAGGAAAGCAACCACCTCTTCTGGTGTTCCACCCTCAGCAGCACCAGACCCGGCAGATCCCAGAGACTGCAGTTTGTTCAAACATCATGGCATTTCTCCCTCCAAATACCTGTCTCCGAGGGGAGAGTTGGAAAGACTGGTTCTCCCTCTGCCCAAAGCAAGCCCCCATCAACTTGCCAGCTGTTGACGTTGAGCTTTGGCTGGTAGCCCTGCCTCTCCCCACCCCCTGCCCTGCACAGGATTATTTTTATCTAGGGAGCTGCTGGTGAACTAGCTGCCCTGGGACCCAGTCTGCACTCACACCAGGGCCCTCACTCCCAGCTTTTCAGGGTGTTGGCCTGACCCACACTCTGATTCCATCTTGCTGCCTGCTCCTAAAGACATGGCTTGGTTTTATAACCACTTCTTTGCTTCAACAACCTGTTGAGAGCATCTACCTTAGGCCCAGCACTAGGCCTGGTGACTTGATAGGACAGAGGCACTGCGGAGCACTAACATGATGGGCAAATGAAGGATGGCATGTAGTGGTTTAGGGTCAGGTCTCTGGAGGCTGCCCAGGTTTACATCTTAGTTCTTGGGGCCAGCATTGTTAAGCAACCACCTATGACACACTATCCTATATAGGAGTCAGTTCAATTCCTGGCTGCTCCACTTCCAATCCAGCTCCCTGCTATGCCTGGGAATGCAATAGAAGTATTTGGGCCTCTGCCACTCATGTGGGAGACCTGGATAGTTTTAGTCTTCAGACTTTAATCTGGCCCAGCTGGGGTCATTTTGGAGCCTGAACCAGTGGATGGAAGCTGTATCTGTCTCTGTAAACTTTAAAAAAAAAATAAAAGTAATATTCTCACTACCTGGGGCAAGTTACATGCTGGAGCTGGGCCTGGTTGGATGCTGATTGGCTGCCTTCCTGGTGTGTAGGGGGGGAGGGTGGGGCTTCTCCTTGGGAGTGCTTGGAGCAGCAGGGGGCACAGGCTCTGTAGTACTGGAGACACCGCGGCTCACACTTGTACTGACAGCCTATTCCGGGAGGTCACTTGTGAAGTACAGGGAGTTCCAAACCATCCTAGGTGTGGGCTGCAACAAGTGACCACTGAGTCCTGAGGCTGGCTGTGGTGGTTGGGGCAGGTGTCCTGGAGGAGGCGGCGGCAGGACTTTACTGCACTCAGTTCCCTTTAGGAGACAGATAGCTTCAGGGACTCCACGCCTTTGCCCAGACTGCCTCTCGCAGTGCCATTTCTTCCTGTCTCCAGTTCTAACTCAAAGGCTTCCTTCATGATGCCTTCCCTGGCAGGAGGATTTAACTGTATGCCCTGGTACTTCTGAGCCTTTGTTCCGCCTGCAACTCTGCTGGGTGTGGTGATCGGGTAGGAGCGGGAACAGCTGTCTTCTCAGGGGAGACAGCTTGCTGCCTGTTAAATTTGAGATCCTAGACCAAGGTGAGGGACTGAGGCCGACTCTGGATTCCACCTAGCCCATGGCCCCTGCACAGCCCACACAGGGGAAGCTGGGAGCACCTGACAGCTCCTGCCTGTGCTTTTTGATGCCTGGAGGATGCTCCCAGCTTCCTGTTTTGGGGTGGGATTTCAACATTGAGGGTCAGGCTGACCAGCAGGCGAATGCCTTGCTGCTGAACAGCACCCTGGCTCCTTGCTAGTGGGCTTTCCTCCAGAGACTTCCCTGTTGCCCGGGCCCTCCTCTTTTCTGCCTCTGCTTCCGAGAAAGCACCGTGCACTCTTTCCAAATGCTTTGGTGACTGTGCCTGAGCCAGCTGCTGAGACACTCCGGCCACAGCTAACGTATGTCTTCCCTTCTGTTTTCTTCAAGGCTCTTCTGGGGACCTGAAATTCTGCGTGCTATATCTTGCAGAGGTGAGTCCTTCCCTTTGCTTTGAAGGGCAGAGGTCTGTGGTCTGGTGGTGGGCTGGCTTCCCTGATGCCAGCCCTCCCACCAGGGAGACATGCAGAGAGCCCCACAGTTAGAAGGGGAATAGCATCCCCACCTCTCTGGTGTCTGAAAGAGCCATGGGCTAGGAAGCTCTGGGAGTGACCCCTGAGCAGTGCTGGAGGATTCATGACTGAGTCCCCACAGAAGTTGGAGAGGGCACAGCCCAAGTCACCTGCTCTCATTTTCCTCGGGTGTTGCCCTGATTCTGGTGCCTCTTCTTTCTCTTTTCCCAGGAAGTACCCTCTGTGACCCGTCTCATAGGGTCTTATAGGTATTCCAGAAGGCTTGAGTGAAACCCCATGGGTGTGATTACTGTCCTGTTTATCTCAATCCCGAGGCTGGGCAGTGCTGTGCCTTTGCAGGATGAAGCCAGACAGATGACCGATCTGCTTGATAAGGCTTGGTGGATAAATATTAAACTGGGGTTTAACCTAAGAGGCCCTCGGTAATAAAGAACGTGAGAGCCACTCTGCCATCTGTAGCCTTTTCTGTCTTCTGGGCATTTACTATCCCTAATCTTGTCTCTGTGGTGTTAGGAGCAGGGTAGGATCTCTCCCCAGCAGGATTTAGCAGGCTCATTTCTGCCTTCCAACAGACCTGGGAATCTGTCTTGTGGGAAAGTCTATACTGGTCATATCTTAGGGATTGGGGTGGGATCTATACTGACTGAACAAGAGGAATACACACCTTAGTGGAAGAATTTGTTTGTGTTGGTGATTGGCAAGCATTCCTGGATGAGATGAGAGGTGCAAATCCTTAACTGAGTCCTTGAATGGATCTGGAGAGAAAAGACAGTTAATGAGAAATTAGCATCAAAGGTAGTACGTATGTGGGACTGTGGCTGCCTGGAACTCGAGATCTGAAGGCCAAGGAAGCATTGGGTGTCCTCTCTTGTGGCAATTACATCCCACTGGGGCACAGAGGGGGCAGGTGGAATCCCTTCAGTGTTGGAAGTGTGTTGAGTCCTGTGGAGCCAAGAGAGCAGAGTGCAACAGAAAGAAGCCTAGGCTGGCTCTTCCTCCAGCTTCACTCCCTGCCATGAAGCTCTAAGTTCCTTAATGGCCAGAGAGCTCTCTGCAGGTTGGGTTTGTTTTGTCTGGAGAAGAACGTGCTTGTGTTCCACAAAGGTCTGTGACCTTCTAGTCCTGTGAAGATTGATGACAGGAGTCCTAGTTCAGTACCCTGCTAGGTGATCTGACCTGGCGACTGTGGTATTGAAGTTCACGGGAAGCTACAAGCCTCTCTTCTTCATGGGTTGTTGTTCATGAGAAGCATTCTGTAATGCAGGGGAGATGCATGCCTGCTTGCTCTGTGGCCTGGGACCTTCTTGACATGGGTGGTTTTGGATTCTGTGGAGCATCCAAACTCGCATCTTGATTGGAACTTCTGGTGTGTGGGTCAGCTCAGAGAAGACACCAGAAGAGGGTTGGGATTTGGGGAATGCTTTCCCACTCCATATGGAGAAAGTGTTAATTGCCAAGGTATTTTCTCTGATCATTCTCTGGCTCTAAGATCATGCAGATAATTATCCTCTGCAGTACTTGGCTCTGGGTCTCTAGTGCCTAAAAATATGCCCCTACAATCTCTGGGAGCAGATGGGCCCATGACGGGTTGCAGAGCACCAGAGGCATTGAGTCAATGGGCATGTTGGTTAGGGACCATTTCCTAGCCTAGAATCATGACCTTGGACCTAAGTCTGAGCCTTGGCTCTGCCATTTCCTGAGTGATTTGGAGCAAGCTATGTAGTATCGGACAGGAGGCCGATGAGGCCCACCTTGCCGGGTTGTAATGATTAAATGAGATTCAATGAGCACTTAGCACAGAGCCTGGCACACAGTGAGTGCTCAATAATGTTAGCTATCATTATTTTCAGATTCATAATGAGGGGAAGAGCTTTTTATATTCATTTTCTCTCCATTAGAAACATCACCACTGCCTTATTGATTTTCTTAAATGAAAGCCGGGAGGAACTGTTCGCCTTCTTTGTGACGTGCATATTCAGATGGGCTCGGGCATACAAGAGATAAACCCTGAATCTACTCTTCTAGACTTGGACTGACAACTTACTCTCTGTGTCTTAATATTTTCAGTTGAAAAATGGGTGCAGCCGTACATAGATCTGTTAAAACATTCTCCCATGTCGTAGAGTTCTATCAGTGTACATGGACAGATTTTAAGCTGTAGCTGCAGGTGTTTTTGTTTTATGTATTTGCTATTTTACAAAAACAAAGTCAACTTGCACGGAAGGAGGTAAGACAAGATGGGGTCTTAAGGAGGCCAGATGGAGCTGAGTATCTGGCTGGATTTAGGGATGTCCATGTGCTGGGTCGCACTGCAGGGAAGCTTCTGGGTGATGCCCTGGAACCTGGGATTGTGGGCACATGGAGAGCTGGCATGGGGTTGGATCACACCCTGGACTCAGAGACAGTTTTGCTGTCAGGGAACCACCACCAGGCAATGAAGGCTCCAGTATAGACAGATTTCGAGAGAGGGGAACTTAGTCACTGGTGGGAGTTGACTCAGTGCCTCAAGGCCAGCCCCCTGCAGAGTTGCCCATTTATGACAGCCTGGGCCAGGCCCAGGTTTTGCTTCAGAAACTTTTTGGGGCTTCTAGTGTTGAAGGTTTTTGTCTTCAAGCTCTCAGGGCCAGGGAGCCCCGCCCAACATGCTGTTCCTGAGAAAGGCACTTTGGTCACTTCCACAGCTGGGGAAGCATGACTTTTCCAAGATTCTAAAGGAACTTCTGTGCTAGTACTTTGGACACGAGATCCTAGTGCAGCTCATTTGCCTGCTGGGCCAGAGAGAGACACATGGCTTCCCTGAGGGGTAGGGAGCAGGTGACGGTCTTGCAGGTGTTCATAGGATGGGGATGATCACAGCTGCTCTCTTGCCAGTTTGTTGGAGTGCTGGCCTAGTGTTTTGCCCTGTTTGGGCACCAGGTGGAAAGTTTGAGAGCCAGGGCTGGGCAGCCCTCTTACCATGAGGTCATTATACTTCTCTAGGGAGGTTAGAGCAGGGCACGGCTGTCTAGAAAGCTGCCACAAACCCCACAGGTCTCCCAGGCCCAGTGGTCTAGAGTCTCTTCTGAAAGTTTGCAGTCTGCCTATCTCTAGGGTCTCTTTGCCAGGGGAGCAGTCTCACCAGCCAGCAGTGCAGTAGCCTCTCCAGGTTAGGGAGGGAAATTCTGCAGGCTTTGCTCCAAGGCTTCAAGTCTGCCACTCCAAGGCTTCAAGGCTGTTAGATGCTGGGAGGCCCTTAGTCACTCTGACCTTTGGTTTTTCTCTTCTGGAATATGGGAACAACAACCTGTGCCTTCATGCCTCTTTGTGGAGTTCCAAGATCCACAGGTCATCATGAATGGGAAATTTGAAAATTCATAATTATCTATCAGGAATTGGTATGATGGTAGAATTCCTGCTTCAAACAGAGAATAGGATATGGAAGCTGAGGGAGGGGGAGGAATTTGCCAGAGTCCAAATGGTTAGATAAAAGCAGGGCTAGAGTGCTGAGGCTGGGGCCTGCTCTGAGGAGGACCCTTGGCCAGCTGGAAGGGACTGTAGCCCTCACTCACACCTCCTTTTGCAGTGGACCAGGACAAGGCAAGCAGCAGAGGGCCCCTGGTCTGGGTCTCCCCTACCCCTTTCTCCCAGGGGAACCTTGGGTTCTTTGTTGGGTGTGTCACCATCCTCACCCTGCATTGGGCTGGAAGGTCCTGAAAGCAGCAGGAGCAGGTGGTGAAGCAGAAGCTTCAGTACTGTCCAGTGCACTGCCCAGCTCCCTAAGTCCGGCAGCCAGGGCTGTCTTCCCTCTCCTTGCCTGCTTTCAGGAGGATGAGTGTCCGTCCAAGGACTTAAAGCAGGAGAGGAATGGCTGGCATTGGGGACACTTGGCATGGGAGGTGGACTCCAGGGAAGGGTGGGAAAGTTCCCAGATGACATAAGGTGATAGCAATAGCCATCCCTGCCTCAGGGCTTCCACTAGGCCTAAGTTCCTCTAGTGTTCTGCTGGCTGACTTCTTCCTGTTCATCAGCCCTTGGCTCTGGTGTCACTTCCTTCTAAGGTGAGACTTTTCTGACCACCTTGCTTAAGTGTGGTCTCTCACTTTCCGAGCTTCATACCGTTTCATAGCTTATCATTATATTGCTTATTTGTTTCTTTAGCAGTTTGACAATCCCTCCCTACCGCCCCCCCCCCCCCCAACACTCCCAACTCCAGGTAAGGGCTGTGTTTTGTTAACCTCCTCATCTCTAGCACCTAGGCCAGTTCCTGATCCAGAGTTGGGGTCCAGCACTGTGTGCCTAGTGAACAGTTAGTTAACAACACCAGCTACTGTGTGATGTGACCTGGGTTGTCCTCACCGCTTGCCCTCCCAGGTGCTCTATGAAGTAGGTGGTGTCATTGTCCCATTTTACAGAAAGCTCACTACTCTCCTGAGCCAGGAAAATGGCAGAGTGGCACTAAACCAGGCCTGTCCAGCTGCGAGATGAGGAAGGACTGGGTGGGAGCGCTCTTTTTTTCTGTTCTAAATGGCTTAAGCTCCAAGCTCTCTGGCTCAGTCCATCTAATTGCTGCTATGGAGGAGGGGAGGCGCCAGTCCAAATTCCCTTGGAGTTAGAAAGTGATGGTAGTGGGTGGTAACCCTAGATGGTGGCACCGCCCCACTCTGCCCCCAGCACATACTATTTCATGGCAACTCCCTGAATCCCTGTAGTTCCATGGTGCTTGTACCAAAGCTGGGCTAAATTCAACCTCCTGGAAGTTCCTTCAGGTAGCCAGAGTTTACAGAGGCCATTCCCTGCTATGCATGACATGAGGCCTGGACAGCAAAGGCCTTCCCAGAAGCGGTTTATGGTACTTGGTGAAATTTGAATGACAGCTGTGCCAGAGATATGGCTGCCTCAGTGGGGCTGAATAAGTATTGCTGACCCCTAGATCACGTGCTACATTGGGGCATGGGATTTCAGGTTATGGGCGACCCTCAGGGACTCCAGTGACTGACTATTTGGGTTCTGGTGGACTTGGACTTGGCAATCGGAAGAGCATGCTGGAGGGAGATCCAGGATGCACAGAGTAGCAGCCTGGAGCTGTTGTACTCTGCATTCCCCACACACTACCCAGGCTGCCTGCTGCCCTGTCTAGTCTCAACCCCATCATTGTCCTGCGGCTCCCCACAGGCCTCCCCTATGTTGGGAGCTACTGTGTCCCTCCTCTCCCCTCCCCCACAGGCCAATAGCTCACCAGCTGCCCCCAGCCCCACTTCCCAGTGTCACTGGGGATTAGTGTACATTTGTAGCTTTTAGTGGGAGCTCACTTCCTCACAGCAGCCTCGCCCTTGGGAGCCCAGGGTGGGGCTTGGGCCTTGGAGCCCCCCGATCAGAGAGCAGCCCTGACCCGTCCCTTTCTCTGTTTTCCTTGACGTCAGAAGGCAGAGTGCTTATTCACTTTGGAGGCACACTCACAGGAGCAGAAGAAGAGAGTGTGCTGGTGCCTGGCAGAGAACATCGCCAAGCAGCAACAGCTGGCTGCCTCGCCCCTGGAGAGCAAGGTAAGGGCCTTGTTTGCAGCTGCAGCCCTGGCTGCCTGACTTCCCCTAGGGCCACCCTCCACCCTTGGACCTCCAAGTTGAGTTCGGGGCTAGCCTGAGTTTGGCTGGAACTTGGAGCTGGGCAATGAGCTCCTGGTGAGAGGAGGGCCTGTGTTTGAATGTCTCCGTCCTTGGCTTTTCATTGGGTCCTTCAAGTGGGTTTAACGTTGCTCCAGCAGAACATTAGAGACAAACTGAGCACATGACTCCGCCAGTTCTCAGCTCTTCTTTTGGTTTGCCCGTGGCGGGGTTTAATTTGGGCTGGCCTCCCTGCTGTTGTCTGGCATACGGTCCCCTCTGCCAGGGGGCAGGCCCTGCCCGGGGTGTGGGGGAAGGGCAGTGTGCTGGTGTTTAATGCTGGCCCGAGGCAGACATAATTGAGGGGATGTTTGCAGCAGAAGCTGTTAGAATTTGATCTAGGCCAGAGCCAGAGGAGCTGCATATCCACCGCTGGGCCTGAGGACCAGCCAGCTGGAGCCTGGGAGATGACCAGTCCCTCTGGGGAGGCTGATCTGGACCAGACCTACTCATCTGGTCCAGAGTAGGGGGTGGGCTGGGGGATTGGATAATGTGATGGGAGCAGGACCAGAGCTTTTTCCTTTGATCCCTGCTGATGACAGAAACAAAGCAGAGTTCTCATCCCCCATTGTTGAGACCCTCATGTCCCTTCTGTTACTCAAAGCACAGGCCATTTGGGGACTGAGTTTGACCGTTGGAAGTTTGGGGTCCAACTAGCTGCATAGTTGTTTGGTGCAGTTGCTCTGCTAGACCTGGCCAGAAGTGGAGGGACAAGTGTAAGGAGCAGCTGGAAACTCTGGCCTTGCTGCTTCCTCGCCGGGGTGGGGGTGGGAGTGAGGAGTGGCCCCTGTGGCGAGAGCTGGGGAGAAGGGTGCTGGACAGTGGCTGGTGGGCAGGGTTACCAAAGAGTTGTGTCATCAGAGATGTGATGCTATTTGACTCCAGGCAGGGGTAAGATCAACTTTGATGGGAGGAAGACATCGGACAGAGTGTGGGTCCTGGGACATGTTCAGCCTTCACCATGACCTTGGGCAAGTTGCTCATGGCTCTGTACTTTGATGTCCCCTATCAGTCACATGAGGTTCCTCCCCTAGAGGGTTGATGGGGGTTTGCAGCTGACATGGAACTGCACAGGCACACGCCTAACCAGAGTTGTAGGGAGGGCACTGTCCCGTCCCTGCTCCCGATGGTGCGACACTCGCTCCAGTATCAGGTTTGTCTTTGAGGGGAGACCTGTTATCATGGTTGCTATAGCCTGCCCTCTCCTGTCAGTCTGGGCTGGGAATCCAGGCCACGCCCTGTTTACCCGGCGGAGTGTGGAGTGGGGATGGGCGGAGCATGATGAGGCAAATGTTGAGTGGCTGAACTTGTGCCTCCACCTTTCTTTGCTTTGTACTAACTTCCTCCTCTGAGGGAGAGAGGTCTTTATGCCCAACATCAGAGTTTGCTGACTCTAGAATGTGCCTGACAGAGGTGTGTCAGTGCTCAGAGAAACACCCCCTCCTTTGCCTTTGGGCAGAATGGTGAGTGTCTGCAGCTAGTTTGGGCCTGGCATGGGCTGTTGGCATCATGGGCAGGCAGCAGGTGGAACATAATTCATGCCAAAGCTGTTTGGATGTTGAGTGTCATGGGGAAGCTGTGCACGGGGCAGAAGGGAAAAGAAGAGGGGTCTGGCTATTGAGAACTGTGGTATCGCCTCTGGGTCTCAGCGAATTGGTTCTTTGAGCCATGCACAGAATACTTCCAGATTAAATTTACGGCAGACAGAACTTTCTCCAGCCCTAAAGAGTGCCAGACGGCTTCCCTGACCTTGGTAATGGGGTCCAGGTGGCTGTCCAGCTGGCGCAGCCCATCACCCACCTGTGCTCAGGTCTGTTAGTTCCCTGCAACCTGAGTGACCCAGGGCAGCATTGCAGCTTTTCCACTAATGTGGCTGTTCCCCAGGGGAGGAGAGGTAGGGCCAAGAAGACCTCAGAAACTGCTTCTTGCTTTCTGAGTACAACTCACCCTGCTTGCTGATGCCTTTGGAGACTAAGAAGTGCATCCTTTGATGCCTTTTCTGAATCTTTGCCTTCTACTAAACAAAGGAAAGTGAAACCAACACTCCCTCCACCCCATCAAATTTCTTCCTCTGGAAAGGCACTTCCCGAATCTGCCACCCCCCGCCCCCAGCCTGTGTCCCTGTCCTATCCACAGTGCTTGCTGACGCCTTGGGATGGCAAGTTCTTCAAATACCTCAGGGAATGGAAAGCGCTTCCCAAATGCATAAAAAAAGTCATCAGTGCACTTTTTGCTGTGAATGTAAGCAGCCACTCACTCAGGGGAGGAACGACATGCTGGGGGCGGGGGCGGGGGCTCTTCAGATGCTGTGATGTGTTTATCTGGGGAGCTGAGGACCCTGAGCTCATTCTGTCTCTATGGGGAAATCTGTGCCCCGAAGACTTCTGCTGGATTTGGCTGCCTGTGAAATCTGCTGCCCTTTGGACCAGCTCTGTTCTGCTTCCAGAGGCAGGCAGGGGCAGGAACAGGATTCTGTGGTCTGGCAAGTGTGGGGGGTCCCAGTGGGCCAGGCCACAGTCCCATGATACTTCTTTGGGGAGGGGAGTCCATTGTCTGTCTCTTGCTCACTCCTTGCCTGTAGATTCCTCCCACTTCCTCTCTTGCCCGGCACCCCATCCATCTCTTCTGAACGCAGACTTTAGTCTTGCTTCACTACCTGTCCCTGGAGACCTTCTCCCTTTCTCTGGCTGCCTGAGGCTCGTAGCACACTCACTGCATGGGGCCTTCTGTGATGCTTCCAATCTGGAGTGACTGAACTGCTCCCACCTGCGGCTGCTGGGGTTCAAAACCAGGAGGGAGAGGCAGGGCGACTCTATCTTGGTTATCAGTGATATACACAAAATAAATGCCTTCTCTGTGCCAGATGCCAGGCCCTCTGGGATCGCAGAGATGAGCAAGGCCTAGTTCCTGTCCTTATTGATGTCTCCTGACTGGAGAGAAGTGGCGGGGGCACTGGAATGAAGATCCAAGCATTAAAAGCCATGCGGGCAGGTGCGGGTGAGAGGGGTGGCCCAGCTGGGTGTTGGCACTGGACAGGCCAGCCAGCTGAGAGGAAGTGTTTGGCCACTGAGTTCTCAGGTATGAGCAGTGGGTACGCTCAAAGGAATCTGGTGCACTCCTCCCTCTGGAGGTCATAGTGTAGTGACAACAGACTGCTCCAACTAACGTGGTGAGCAGTAGGAGACCCCAGAGAGCTGCCTGGCCTCTTCAACTCAGTTTCTGCATCAGTCAAATGGTTGGATGAACAGGGAGGCGTAAACTCAAAGTGCTGGGCCCAGTGGCCTGCGAGAAGATCTCTGCTGACCAGCCGCTGGTGTTAGCTGATTCTAAGGGATGTCCGTAAGAGGAGCCATCTGCCAGCCCTGCTCCTCCTGAAGCTGACGCCGCCACTCTGAGCACTTGGGACCAGCCGCTCCGTGGCACCTCACCATAGCCACCCGCCATATTCCAGGGCCCAGGCGGGGAGATGGGGACCTCCAGAATCAGCTTTGGCTGTCAGACCTCTCCTAGATGGGATACAGAGGTGGGTGCGTGCCATCTCATCAACTGCTTAGGGCAGTTAGAACCTGGCCTGGGGATGCCAAGGTCTGTCCAAGTGACTTGGTGAGGAACAGAGGCAGGTCCTGAAGTCAGGCATCCATGGCCTGAGTAGACAGCAAGCTAATTCCAGTTCTGTCTGGTTCCACAGAAACTCCACCCTTACGGCTCTCTCCAGCAGGAGATGGGGCTGGGCACCTCCACCAATGCTACCCAGGATAGAAGCTTTACCTCATCAGGACAGACTCTGATTGGCTGAGCAAGCCCAAGGGCGGAACTGTGCTGCCAGCGACTTAACCCTTTCTTGGGCCTCCCTTACTACACAGTAACCTCACCTCAACTGGATCCAAAATGGAGGACCAAAATGGTGGGCCTAGGGCCATCTGAAGAGAGTGGTTCCAAGGGTGTGTGTGGATTGGCAGCGGAAGGACCGCAGTGATGAGAGAGGCCCATGGGCCTGCGCAAACTGGCCACAGGAAGTTGCTGATGGAAAAGGCTCTGAAGCTTGTTCCCTCCACGCACAAACAGGTCAAAGGGCGTCTGGGCCTCCAGCAGTGGCTCTAGCACCCACTCTGGGGCCCACAGGAGAGACTGGCTGAGATCATCCCAATGGAGAACGACGCTGTGATCTCTTGCTGTCTGAAGACATCTCCAGCCACTGGCTCGTTTTTCCTGCAGACACCTTGACTGGTTCATTTAGCGGATTTGGAGTGGGGAGGGGGAGAGTGTCTCATTTGTACCAGGCTCTGTGCTGGGGAACTGCAGAGAACAAAATGGACAAGCCTTGTGCTCTCATCATGTTCCTGTCCTAGCAGGGAGTAAGCATGCGGGAAACGGGTCACCAACAGCTCCATACACATGTGCGCACATGCACAGACACACACATACACACACACACGTCTCCACGGTTGCCAGCGGTGATAATCTGGGAAAGTAGCAATTTCTTTCAGCAGAAAGGATGGCTGTGCATGGGGGTGAAACAGAGGAATGATAGAACTTTGACCAGTCCTGGCTGGAAAGGAGTGAACCAGTCAAGACTTGGGAAAAAATGTTCCAGGTAGAAGGTCAGACATGGGAGGTCCCAGGATGAGAGAGTGTGGTGAGTAGGCCAGGGTGCCAGAGCTTGGAGAGGAGCAGGAAGAGGCAGTACAACACCAGATAGTGACACTGAGTCTGTAGTGGCTTCTCCAAGGATCCTGTTGTTGACAGGAGGGGGTCCATATGCGTGTGAGACTGGGGAGGGATGCCCGAGCTCCTGGTGGCTGGTGGGTGGGCAGCAGGTGTGTGAAGACTAGGATGGGGGATGAGAAAAGCTGGTTCCTAGCCTTCCCACCAATCCTCATGCT